TTTCACAAACGTCTATCTTTACAATTTTGCGAAGAAAATACACGCGAAAAATAAATTCCTATGTGTTTGATAGATTATTATTGATATCTATAAAAATAACACATTCTCCTCGTTCGTTTTATATTATATGAGATATAAATATGAAATTATCCAAAATAATTTACGATATATTTTACAATATATTTTAATATATTTTGCGACATTATATATATGTAGGGTGTTTATGGTATCTTGCATCTAAATTTATTTTTTATGGAACTGTTCAAAGTTTCGTGCGTACAATGACGGTAAACCAGAAATTTCCATCAACAGTTAGTTAATAGAATAATAGAGACCACAGATACTATTCGCATTAAACTTGGCTAAATTAATTGGCGACAGTCTATAATGCTACAATAGCAGCAGTGTTTGTATGCAGAAGGTGGACATTTTGAACAATTAACGTGATTAAGAGAATATTTACATAATAAAAATTATAAACGCCTGATATTTTTTGTTTGTTACAATATTAATAAAATTGCCTACATCCAACTGTTAATGAGTCTCTGTTTACCATCATTAGATACACAATTTTCCCAAACAAAAAGAAATCCAAAAGTGATAAGTTAAATCAGGAGAGAGAACCATGTTGCAGGATATAGCGTTATAGACACAAATTAATATATTAATATATTAATAAATTTTTTATATTTCGATAAATAAATTTAAACATAATAAATATAATTTGAATTGATTTATATGAATTAGTATATGAATTTTTTGCTCAGAATGAACACTTTACAATTTATTTTAAAAACTTATCGGTTTTCTTGCAAAACACTTTGTACATAATATATATATATATAGATAATAAAATATCGTGGAATTTATAAAGAAAGAAATTATAAGACAAGCCCCAAGCAAAAGCGAATTTGCGCGCATCAATTGCTATCGCTCGTTTGACGACGGAATTAATAGAATTGGTTCTTGTCTCTTTCATTTAGCGCATTTTTCCGGCTTCTTACTTTGTTGTTACATGTAATATCGCTCGCGTATATCGGCATCGAGTGCTCACATTGTGAAAAGCCCTACATGTACCACCCAACGATCGATTTTTCCATTTTCTCGAGCGTTGACATCGTTTTCTTCATCGTTGTATAAACTAATAATAAAATAAAAAGGACGAAGAACCTACGGTAAGAGTATACGAGAGATACACGGGATATATAGAGAGAGAGAGAAAGAGAGAGAGAACACACACATTGACGCGAACCAAGTTTAAGTCCCTCGGATTCGAATTCGATATGAAAAATCCCGTCCATTCAAATAAGGTGACAACGTGTGCGGGGACGTCGATCGTATATTCGTAGCAAACACACACGCAACAAGCTCCATCGACCAAGTAGATTTTCAATATCCCGTCCTGCTCGCGAATCGCCTTATCATATGACTTATTGAATACGTTTCGCGAGCGAGCGAAGCTTTTGACGGATTTATCGCGTTTACCTTGTGTAAACCAAGAGGAGAGGGACGAAACGCGATTCTCTATCTGCAGCTTTTATCTACAAATTTTCTATAGAGCGTCTCTTTTTTTTTTTAATAATTGCGGAATAAAATTGCGAGGCATATCGAAAAGTCCGGCCAAGTTTTCCGCGAGGAAAAAATAGATTCCAATTTACAAGGGAAAAAAAAATACACCTCGAATCTTGCTCCAATTTGAAGAAGCGTCCCGTATAGCGTAAATGTATATACAACCGCAGGGAGAGAGATGTATACACATACATGTATATACAGTCGCGAGCAGTGCCGTCTGCTGGGTCGGACTCGTACTATCCTCGGTGCAGTCACCACCTGGCCTAAAACCATCGCGCATCACCCTCCGAATTTGCCCGTTTTCCATCGCGGAACTCTCGCATCTTCTCCAGCTGTCACCGGCCTAAGCGGCTCGACGCGTAAGTACAGAGGTAACATCGATAGGCTCGCGTGTTGACGAGTAGGCGCGAACAGTCGGCGCGAGGGATCGCCTCTTCCCGTGTCTTCGCGACGTCGTTCCGTCGACTGGAACATCCCGGGTGACCTCGAGGAATTCGGGTCGCAGGTGCGTGAAGGCGCGTGAAGGCGCATTGACAGGTCGGCGAGCTTTTTTTCCGGCGACAGAACAGGCCAAAGTGAAGGTCGATAACATCGCGCGCCCGCGCAATTCCCGCCGTCTTCCTCGGCGTAATAAGGGTGGATGAGGAAAGGGTGCGTCGGGAAAAATCGAAGTGTTTCGCCCAGCGAGAGCGATCGGTGAGCGCGTCGCATGTAAATTCTGCTGACGGGGACAATCTAAGGTCGATCCTTGTCGCATCCGCAGGGCTCGCGGGCTGGGCTGAATTTTCTCGATATCGATCGGCGGATGCACCGGGCGACGAACACGCTCATCCGGCATTCGTCCAGGACCTATCCTACTTGGCGTTCTTCCGAATAAGGGTTTCTCCTGGGCGCCAGCGTGGCTGCCTGGTGCGTTGTCGGTTTATGCGCGAACCTATTATAATAGTTATTTCTCTCTATCCGCTTCCGCGACGCGTTCGATCAACGCGACATTCTTCTCGAGAGATTGTCACGATGTGCTGAATGTGCGGAGAGTGTGATTGCGGTTGACGCTGCCGTCCTCTTCGATTCCCTGCCATTCTTGGATGGCAAAGTGGACGGTCAAATATCGTATCGAAAATAGAGATTGAGAAAAAGAGAAAGAGTAAGAAAAATGTCGAGAAAAATCGTAGAAAATCAAGAGGGAATAAGATTCGCAAAATCTATTCTTTTCATTTGCACTTTTTGTGGCTTCTTTTCATTTTCTCGTTTCTTTCTCTCAATACAATAATACGTTTATTCTATTTCGAATAAAGAAAGTATAACGAGAGAAAGAGAGCACGTAAAGTAAAATTAAATATATTCCCGGTTAATCGCCGTTGGAGACAATCCGCCGATTCGTCAGCGTTTAGCGTCACGTAATTTGGTTATTTCCTCTCTTCGACGTGTCGCGCACGTTTGAATTTCGACGTATTGAATACGCGACCGGTCGCGGTACATACGGTACGGTTGATCGTCGCGTGTGCGTAGAACGGGAACGCGTTTGACGAGGTGTGCGCGTTTTCGACGGTCATCGGGCGTTCATTGTCTTTCGGTGCAAAAGCGAAAGGGAGGAAATCGCTGTTTCGGTGGACGAGCGCGGCGAGATACAATCCGCGAGAGCGAATTTCGCGCTATCGATCGCACGGGACGCATTCGTTAATAACGCCATTCAATCGCGGCTATTGACGCAAAGGTCGTGTGACGCGCGAGAAATGCATCTTTTTCTTTCTTTTTTTTTTTTTTCTCTATCACCTTCATTTCTTTTTTCATCTAATAATTAGATATTTCATTGCAAAACTACTCTCTTTTTTTTTTATAACCGTTCACGCGGGACTCTATCGCATGATATATCGATATATCGATCGATGAAACGATACAGAAATGTAACGAAACTTTGTAGTCGTGCGAAACGTACGTTTAATATATATTCCACATTCTGCGTTATATATCTAAGAAAAGAAGGATATTGTTTTTATAAAGTAATATATTTCTGGAATTCGAGACGGACAGGGGAAGGGAGGAAAAACTTGCACGATCGTTTCGAGGAAATGAAATTTTCCTAGAGACAATGCGTAGTTGGAATATTGGCGTTTGCAATCTCGCTTCCTCGTCAATCAACGCGTTCCATACGTTTCTCGCAGTGCATTACTTCGCATTCCGCGGACATCACGTAACCGGAAACGTGGGTCATTCCGTCGTTTCCTCCTCAATCATCCGCTAACCGTACTCGTATTCTTTGTTACGTGTTATAGGAAACTATGAGAGAGAGAGAGAGAGAGAGATGGAGCGATTGTTTCTTCGCAATTTAATGACCATGCAATTTTATCGGCCGCTCTGCGGATGAAATAATAATGGCGTGTAATTAAAACGGCAAGTATCGTCGAGTTGGCGTTTTATCCGCGCACAATTAACAGAAAAACACGCGATGAAAGAACCGTCGAAACGAGAAAGAGGCGTAAAGGAGGCGATCTCTATTTTTGTACTAGGCAAGAAAGGAGACGAAGCTGACTAGAAATAGAACAACGTTAACTCGCGCCACCCACGCGGATTCTTCATAAGGAGGAATCCCCTTTCTCTAGCTTTCTCTCTGCTAGAGTTTATTTGATTCTTCTCTCTTTGAATCTGAAATAGCATAGGACAACTATTGCCCAAAATTTTCTCGAGATTGAGCTTCATTTTTGGCTCAAGTAAAATTTATAACGCGTATATTATACTAGGAATATGCAAGTTTCTAGATGGCTCGATTTACCGTTCTCGAGAGAAAATGGTCGAAGTAAGTATTTTTCATCAGAGTGAAAATTAAATAAAATTTTCACAAGGGCGAAAATTAGACGGTAACTCGATTCATCTGGAAACTTGCATATTCGTAATCTACGCGTCGTAAACGTATTTTGAGCCAAAAATAAAATTCAATCCAGAGCTGGGAAAATTTCGAGCAACAAGCCTACGGGCGCTTGTCCGCGTTCTTACGCGATATTAGCACGGTAACGCTCGACGTCGGTGCTGGATTGTAAATCCAGCGCGCTGCGTTCATGGAAGCAGCTACCGCGAGAGAGGAGGAGGGAAACGGGATCGCTCTTACCTCGTGGTGGAGTTAAATTAAAATTTAATGAACCGTGGAACCCCGGAGCCCTTTCATGTCACAGAGACCTCGCGTCAAGGAGGACGCGCAAGGATATGCGCGTGCCTTTAATTACGTTAGCTCGGAGCTTCGTCGCGTTTCTACGCGATGTCAAGTTTCAAGCTTCGCAGGAAAGGGTGTAGCGAACCACGTGTCAGTGACCTGTGAGAGATATATCCTAGACGATCCTCCCGCAAGGTTTAATATTCATTCAAAGAGAGAGAGAGAGAGAGAGGAGAGAGAGACGTGTATTGATTAAATCTCACCTTATAATTTCGGTTTTCAGAAGGAACAGACCGATACCAAGCAGAGGACATCGACTTACAATACCTTCCCGGACGATTTGTACTTGGATGATCAGGACGCCTTGGAAGGCTCTGGTCGAGGTGTCAGTGATAATCGCGACGATCTCGAGGCTTCGGGCAGTGGCCTTGGCCCTGATGACGAGGACGGAGACGACGATCGCGGTACAATGCTCGTTATCTCTGTATAAATAAATAGCAATTGTGAAAGATATCAAAGCAATAATTCTTTGATGGGAAAAAAATAAATAAAATATCGGTTACAATTTTTATTTATCGCTAAATGCTTGTCAAGCTAGTTCTTTCTTTTAACAGTAATTGTTTATTTCAAAATGCGCGTGTTTGTTTTAAAGATTTTTAACGAATCTTTTACATTAATTGGTAAAAAAATGCCGATTGAGAAATACATCAATAAACTGTCATGTAGTGGTTACAAAGGCGATAGCAGCGGTAGATTTTTCTAAAAATTGAAAAATACGCAACGTGTGTATTTTCACCGCTATGCGGATCGTTTTTCGATCACAGTGATTGGAAATTCATCTTTGGCCTTCGTAAATGTGCCAGTTGAAAAAAAAAACAATTTCGAATTTTTCGGATTTCGCCGTGCAAATTGATACACAAATTTATCCGAGATGTAAATGTTAATGTATCCGTTGTAACTTTACGTTGCAGAGTTTAATGGTAATAATGGACTAGAGATCCCGAGCAAGCCGACCGAAGCGAGACCTCCGTACTTTATTGATGAGACAAACGCCAAAACTAAACAACAGGTAATATCTTAAAGTTGATCGCAAATACAAATCTTTACAAAGCATTTTCGTGTCATTCTCTTCTTTAGTAAATTTGCAAAAATAAAATTTGACGTTTGATGCGAATATATATTATTCATGCATTTTACGCAAAGAAATGTACAAACATTCACGTACACATAATCGGATATAATCTGCTACAAATGCAAATCGCTAGATTGCGTGTAATTTTTTTTCTCCTTGCGAGAAGGAATGTAGATAATAATATAAAACTATAATTGCATTTTATTTTATAAATTACCGTGCACTAGTATATCATATCTTTTACGATGTTTTACGATATTACACTTTGCGTTTCCTGGACGAGCGTGCAATCTAATTTGCCCGATTAGAGTGCCGACGCGACGACACCTCCCGTTCTCGGAAACGGATTACTACATTTTTGTTCGATGACACAAGCGCGCACGCGCTTCCTCTCCCGTACACAGTCGCGAATTAAACAGATTAAAGTGATTGAAGAGATCCGTATCCAATTTCCAGACGACTATCGACGCGGTAAACCGACCCGCCAACGAGGTCGACGTAATCGAACCCTCGGGCACGGAAGACGATCACGCCGACAATACCGACGAGATCCACGAAGTCTATATAATGAATCCGAAACACGAGGACCGTGCCAGCTCGTTCTTCGCGCAGCCAGGTGTATTGGCCGGTAAGTGTGACAAGAATTTGTTTCCATCAAATTCAACGCGACACTCGATGAGTATCTCGTCATCGAGAGACGCGACGTGGCCGAACGGTTTCTCCAGTCACGACTACCGCTCGATTCTCGATTCGATTGGAGATTACACGCGTCGAACAAAGATTATTCTTCGCGAGCATAAAAAGAAAAGGAAGAAGAAGAAGACATTGTATGATGATATCTCGATCATGTTTGCAGCTGTGATTGGCGGCGCGGTAGTGGGCCTGCTCTGCGCGATATTGGTGGTCATGTTTATCGTGTACCGGATGCGTAAGAAGGACGAGGGCTCGTACGCCCTGGACGAGCCGAGGAGATCACCCGCGGCGCAAGCCTTCCCCAAGCCTGGCGCGCCCCACCACAATCGGGAGTTTTACGCTTGAGGCGACGGCGGCGCGATGACGACGACCTCGCCGATTCCTCTCGCGATCTCACGATGCCAAGCCGAGTAAGGACCACCGACGATCGACAACGCCCGCATTCAGAATCCCGCTGGTCGATGGTGAAAAAAAAAAAAAACGATTACTTCGGCGAACCGCATGGCGCGCGCGCCCATAGACTCTCCCGCAACACGCCGGGGCTTTATCGAGGAACGTCGCTCGCGGAACGTCGGCCGATTCTCGCGGATTCTCCCTCGGCACTTATATTCGCGATATTCGCTTGCTCTTAGCTGTAGCTCACCCGTTACAACATATCCCTACATCTACCTACCTACCCTGTGTACCCGTATATCCTTTGCGTTCCCCTTCCTTTCGGAAGGTAATTTTTCACGATTCTCCTCCGGAGAGCTTCCCTTTTGACATTTAGGCTCGCGACGACGACGACGACGACGACGTTTGCGCGTACGCTTCTCGGTCGCCCGAACTTCTCTCGATTCTCGGAGACTGTATTTTCTTACGCGCTGTATCTCTCGTCGTACTTTCGAAGGAAAAGGGCGCACGCGAGTAAGAGAGTTTGAGGCAAGACGAATTCGCGGCTCTCTCGGCCGACGGACCATTCACCGAACGCCGAATTTTTTCAGCTTTCAACGCTCCGATTCGCCCTTTGTAGCGCTCTGTACAGAGACTCTTCTTTTCGTTGTATCTTCATTTTAACCGCATTCGCTATCCGCCGAAGATCCTTTTCGGAGTGTAATCATCCCGATTGGCGATTGGAAGCGACGAATAGCGAATGACGAGATTGTGGCTCTCGTATCCCGTATATCCCGTCGAGACATCGTCGGCGAGGTTGCACCAATTCCAAGATGCATTTACAAACGTATTTAGAAATGTATGTATAAATATATACGTGTATGTGTATATGTATGTATGTATATATATGCATGTATGTATATATATGTATATATATATAATATTTACGTATATGTATACGTATATACATACATGTACAGAACTGAGAGCGTGAAAATTCGTGGGCGATAAACGCCGTTGCTATGTCGTTAATCATTCTGTCTCTCGGTGGAAGGAGGGAAGGGAAGAAGGATCGTTGCGGCACCGTGATTTCTCTCCGACAGCAAGAGCGGCGAGGAGTTAAGCTGCAACCTCGTCCGCGTCGCTGCTATTGCTTGTTCCTTCTTTCATTTTTGGATTTCAAATTTACGATATCTACTTTTTTTTATACCGAGCGTTTAATACCGAGTTCGACGAAAATTTATATCTCTTAGCGCGCGTTCGCGTCTCAATAGAGGCGTAAACGACGGCGGGACTCGTCGACCGATCGATCAATTACGGAGAGAATAAAAAGGGCGCCTATTATTAAGAATACGCGTTACGCATTAATCATAGCGCGACCGAACCGACCAATGTCTAAGTTCCGAGGTAAACGAAAAGTGTTTAGTCGTGATGCACACATACACATACACACGTTTCTAAGAATTATATAAGTTGCGCAAATTTGCTTAGCGATAGGGAATTTACGTCCGATCAGTCGGTCGGTCGCCGATACTGTACATATCTTTACAGAATAACGATTATTTCTGAAACTTGTATAAGATTTTATACGTATTTTCGCCGCATAACTTCTTCTCTCAATGTCGTTTCGTTGTATCCTGTAGAATGTCGAAACGTAAGGAGATCGATGTATTTTAAGATAATCAATTCTACACCTTTCCATTTTCTTCTATTTATTTTAATATTCGTTTATAGCGAGGACTTTTGGCATGATTCTGGCGTAAGATAAATTCGCGTAATTGAACGCGTGTATAAATTTACTCACAATTTGAATTTGTTTCCAATAAAACTCGTTGATGTAAATCCCGTATTCGAGAATTACATGTATAAATACTAAAACCCCCTCACGGTAGGTTGCGATGTTTCACCACGATAATTCGCGTATTCGCCAAACTTTTAGTCGAATTTTATTAACATTCTATTGTATATGAATCGCCATGCATTTAGCAATAAAATGAATTCTCAGTTATCGTGTCATATTTTTAAAATATGCGTGCTTGCATGCATGTGATTGTTTTCAACTTCCTGCCGAGATGAATACGTAAATCTTAAAATGTAGAATTTTTAAAATATAGAGTCTTTTTAAGATGGAAAATTTTTCATCTTTTTTCCACACACATAAATACATTAAATATTTTCAAATATTGGATAAGCAGAAACATCTCTCAGAGTCCAAATAATTATATTGACAATGGGAACTATACCCTCCTTCCACCCATATGATAAAGCATGCATTTTTATTATTAAGGCAGTTCCAATGCTGATAAATCTTCGATACGTCCGTCTTGTTCGTCTCGTCGTCAAAACTATTCAAACGACGAGAAATTTACATTGCCATAAGATGGATGCTACGATCGAGAAGCACAATCACGCACGATACGTGGTTCCTTCTGCCCCGAGAGCGATATGATAGTGCGCACGCCTTAGTACGATTAAAAATGATGCCATAATGTCATGTTAGAAAGCGAAAGGGAACATGCGAAGAGCGATACAAATTTGTATCTAAATTTTACTTTTTCAGCCGTATTCATCACGCGATCCATCTGCATTGCGAAGTTTATTAATGTTCCCCCTCTCCCTCCTTCTCTCTCTCTCTCTCTATTTTTTGCGATAATTCCTTTTTTTGTCCTTTTTCCATCGTTTCTCTCTCTTTCTCTCTTTTAATTTCTACAATATCCTATATCAATATTCTTGAATCTCTTCTTGCAACAGTACGAGCGTCGTCTTTTCGCAGAATCCAACTCCGCTATGGAAGATTGGATGCGTTGGAAGTAATTAAAAGTATATCATGCCGATACTGCCATATACTACGTAAGGAACAGCGATTTGGTACGAAACTCTCACGGACTCGCCTTATTATCACACATTGCATTTTCACCTCACACAGCACATTACTCTTATCCTGCATGGTAATCGTTTCCTCCATCTTCCTGCAAATTTTGCTCTTTTTGTTTCTATTCAGCTGATTCGCGCTTCTTACGTACGAATATGCTGATACTATAAAAAGATATAGAGTATAGAGTCTACTAAACGCCTTATTTATTTTATTACCGAGAATAATGTGATTCTCCTCTTATCCACGGCGAACTTTGTCGCGTTCCACGACGATTTATCTTTATTAAACATATATCACGGTCTTAACAAAAGGATAATTTCTCTTTGGCATATCATGTGTGTGACAATTTTATTCATTTATATTTTAATCTAAAAAGTACTAATTATGTATATAAAGGATGATTTGTTTATCAAGATTTTATTTAAAGAGCTAATTTTTATAAAACTTTATCGATTTACTATCACGAGATTTGTTTTAGTGCATTTAAATTTTTGATTTATAGGAATCAATTTATGATGATTTACATTAATAATGATAGTTAAAATTAATATCGATTATTATCAAACAAATATTTCTATATTTTTCGTAGATTATTATATTATAAATCGATATTCTTTCTCATATTATTTTCGTTATATATATCTTGAATTTCTATTAAATCGATTATATATATAAATTCCATCCAATATTTTATATCAATTTTCTAGATCCAACTTTCTAAAAACACATTTTACAATACGCTCTATAATATCTTTTCCTTCTCTGCCATCTTTTTTCCTCTCGATAATCCTTTATTTCATTTGAAATAAACCGTGCGAAATAAACGAGGAAAGACCTAGAAATTGGGCTCGTAATCTCTATTGTAATAATAATCGTACATGATATAGATGAAATTGTTCGTTAGATAGTAATTAATTGACCGCTTGGTGTGCCCTTGCCTCGGCTTTTGCTAGCTTCACCATGCGGCCAATTAACGTCCGAGAGGCGATTAAGCGAAGGTGGGGAAAAAATAATTGTAATGAAAACATATTTTATAAGAAGAACGTAATTCCGTAAGATCATTATAGCAATGAGAAGTCTGTTTAACGCTAGAGACAAGAAAAAGCCCATAGGCCAGATGGACGAATGAAAATAATTTTAAAAGTAAATATATATATATATATATAATTAATATTTAATAATAATGATAATATTATAACAATGTTATTTTTTAAGTGTAAGTATCGTCGTCCCAAAACCACCACCTTCCTCCTCCTGCTCCTCGTCCTTTTCCTATTGTTCCCGATACCTATCTATACTACATATATGTGTATATATCTCCGTCAATGCACGAACCCACAAAATACGTATATACATGTATATGTACTTATATATATATACAATACTCGCTCGCAATTGCGATAAAGCATGTTTCGATTTTTCATTAAAATATTCTTAATCTCACGCGCGTTTTCGCGTTCCTTTTCTTTGCTCCGAAATTTGAAGTCTATTATCTGCGTAACGATGACAAACTAACACACGAGTAGCTTTTAACAAGTATGAAACCTATGTGTTATCGCTGTTGCGAGCATTTATATTACGTTATTCTTAATTAACGGAAATAATTGCACTATATTAGTATAATAACAAACAATAATGTATGTCGTCGCTCCTATTCTGTAAATAAATACTGTATCGTCTAAGGAAATGCATTGGAAAACTTCTTCGAGATACGAGCGTCTCGCTTCCATTTAATTCTTAGATTTTATAGGAATTTTTTGTAGAGCTATACGCCAAGATATAACAAAGGGAGATTGTTTAATTTTATTTGCATATCAAATTACAATATATGTATTGATATCTTCGAGACATGTTAAATTGCCACAATATTTGAGCACCGTAAAGGTGAATCTGTAAATACATATTTGGGCATTTAATTGCAAAAGAAACTCATTTAATTGGAAGAGACTTTCTTTTTAATAATGCGTCTCGGAATAAGCTTACTATTCGTAAAAATGATATTGCGCATATATGCCCTAATTTACATATTGTGCAATATCTTAATGAAATATCATTATCAAAAATATCAATCTTTTATAATTAGTTTATGAATGTATAAAGCACTTTATATATATATATGATATTGAAACCATTTTCTCACTAATATCGATTACTGATTATATAATTTTAAAAGACAAATGTTTTAACATGAAATACAATAATTCTATAGAATATATAAAATATTCATACACAAATATATTTGCATCAAATGTTTTAAAAGCTTTTGTTAAAATGTCATATAAAAACGTCTTTTAAAAGACAAATGTTTTAACATGAAATACAATAATTCTATAGAATATATAAAATATTCATACACAAATATATAATATATTGTTTGACAATGATTTGTTACGATAAAAAAAGCCAGAATATTTTTTACGCGTAAAATTATTCCTTACAAATTTGCTAATATAATTACCAGATATCACGACATATAATACATTCTGCATGCAAAATTATGCAAATTATTCTGGCTCGTATTTAAAAATGTTTGCAAATATTTTCTTACACAAATTTATTTATTTATTATCATAGAATAGATAGAATTGCTGTTAACTCATGTGATAAACACATGATATTTGATTATAAATTACTTTTAAGAAAAGGTTTAAGATACTTATGATAGGATTGATTCACACTCTCCTGATTCAACGGACTCTTCATTGCCTCATCAAAGAGACGCTGATATACATTTCCGTCGTACGCGCCGAGCGCAGATGCGAGGACCTCGTCGCGAATATCAAATCCATCGACAATACCCACAGCATTTGAACGGATCGCAGCGAGCATTTCTTCGAAGCGTGTTTGAAGCGCCGGAATATTTTCATTATTCAGACAGGAAAACTGTAATTATAAAATGGATCGTTGTATTACAAAAAATATTGCAATATTCAAGCAATAATATCCATAAAATTATTATAGCAATTTTAATCTAATATAAGAATAAATATGGATATGATACTGACTCGCAGAAAGTCTCCGAGTCGTTGTAAGACCCAGTATATCGAATACAATTCGCAAAGTTGTATTAAAACTTCATGAAGCTGCTTGGAGATCCCAGTCAGTCCTCTTACAGTCTCGACGAATCTCATCACTAGAAAAGTTCGGCAATGTGACTCCGCGCAATGTGCTAATTCAATACTGGTTTGATTCCACGCATCTTCTGGTGATGCACCGCTACGTATTCTGCGATCCATATTTTCCGTTGCCAGGCGAATTTTACTATAAATAAAATTACAAATCGCGATCATGAAATTGCTCTGACGTATGTTATGTTAAACTTCTATGTGTAAATGTTTTTTTAATAGTAGATGAAATATTTACCCTGCCGCAACAGCTTGATGTGCTTCCACGATACAGGATAAAGTATTTTTCCAAGGACGCTGTTTTACTCCACGCGAAACGACAGCTAAATATCCTACTGTTGATGGCAATGATTGTCCACCGACTGCTTGTCTCCAGGCTTTCACTAAATATCTAGCCGTTTGAAGTAGAAGAACCGTATTTTCACCTTCATAAGTGCAGACAGCGGTTACAAGACCATAAGTCGCCGGTAAATTGCTGGCATCCATGTAACCGTGTCCACCACACGCCAATCGTAATTGCTCGATGCCAGTTGCTCCATCTGATGATGCAACTGCCTTTAGACAACATGCCAATGCGTGTAGCTAAAAAACAATTTTCTTCTTTCATTAATAATATAAAACGAGAGACGTATCTAATTCCTAAATCAATTTTTATTATACGGAACTATTTTTCACGTAATACTTGTATTTCTTTAATAGTATATAAGAAAGATTTCTGCACACCTCAGGAAGTCTTTCTAACTCTCCTTGATCTAACTCAGCTGTCACATTGTTATACATCTCCCAAATCCAATCGGCGCACATTCGGAATGCGAAACATGCAGCAAGATTGGGAAATAATTTGTATTGTTGAGTAACATAATCTATAATCTGTGCTTCTGGCTCACTAAAATAAATAAATTAAAAAGCATATTCAAATTGTGCATTAAGGTTCTTGTGTTTTCAATGCAATCATAATTCAATGATTTACAAGAACCATAAGATATATAACTTTTGACAAAACATTATTTCAACAGATTAATTATGAAATGTGAATTGCAAATGATTATAATATCTTCCAAAAAAAAATAAAAAAAAAGATCTTTTAAAATTCAGATTGTTGTCAGATTGTAAAATAAAATAAAGTATCTATATTACATTTAAATTAAAACTAATTCACAATATTCCGAATACATATACCATTGTTATACATGAATATATATGTATTGCCAATTATTATATAAGAGTTGATAATTGACTTTTGAACATGTAAATAATATAAAAAGAAATGTGATAACATATTTCGTATCAAGATATGTATATAACATAATATGTTAATTTTTTATCACATTTTACATACTCGGGTTTTATCTGACTTTGTCGTCTTACTGCGCTGTATCTAATAGCTATAGTGACCGCCTTCGACAAGTAATTAGAAATATCACGTACTAATACCACTCGAACGAACATCATCGTACCATATGTGAGTTTATCACTAGGTGCTTTCACATAGGTTCCATCTTCCAATACCTAAAAAGCGGAGAAAATTAGATCATTAAACTTTTTCATTAGATCTTCTATTAGGTTCTATCATGACGGTTTACTTTGTCCGTTACCTGAGAGTTTTTCATCAACATATTCTCGCGCGGTATTCTAACATTTTCAAAACCGAGAAAGCCGTTGTTGGTTGCATTCATTCCTAACTTGGTGCCAATTTCACCGATCTTTATACCTAAAATAAATTTTTTCATTATAAAAATGTTCAATTTAAGTGAGAGAGAGACTATAGAAAAATATATAACTTTTGATAAAAGAGGCTCCTATCTAAATAAATTAAACAGTAATCGGGCTTGAGGAGCTAATATTATGCAATAATGTTAAAGTCCATAAATAAGACTGTAATTTTTAAGTTTTAATTTTCCTAAAATTTATTTATTTGTACTGAAGAGAGTCCAGTTGAGGACAGAAACGTACGTTTACATTTCATCATATAATGTGCATAGTCTATTAATAGTTACTTAATTTAAATGTATTGCAACGTTATTAAGTCTATTTTTATTTACGGATTTTAACATTATTGCATAATATTAGCTCCTCAAGCCCAATTATTGTTTAATATAACTTTTGCATTACAAAAAAATGTATGCGAATTCACACATACCCGGTAAAGGCTCATGAATATACTCGTCTCTGAGTTGCACGATAAAAGGATGGATACCTCTACACTCTCCTTTCGTATATAACTGCGCAACAACAATTGCATAATTCGCTGTGTGACCCACTAAAAATATTTTTTCTTCTATGAGTCTACATAAAGAGCGCAGATTAATATATCTGAAAGAAAATACTTACAACCACCAGGCCACCATTTGTACGATGTCAGAGTCGGGCTATTTAATATGAATTCTTTGGTTTCGGGATCGTAAGTCGCTGTGGTCTCCAAGCCTCGGATAAACGTGCCATGACCAAGCTCCGTCTAAGAATACACAGATCATATTTTTTAAATTAAGCAATTTTTACAAAGCTATAAAATTATAAATTCCATTAAAAATTATACAATTTTATGATTAAAAATGATACAGGTTGATCCATCCAAAATGATACATTCAAATTGAAGATATTGAAAACGAAAAATTATGTTAACTTGTTTTTCACAACGTATATCAAAATAAATTGTTTTATATAGTCATTAAGCGCTTGATAGACTGTAAAAGATATTGATAGATTGGTAAAATATGCGTATTCTCTAAATTAATGAGTAGCTATAAATCTTGTAAAGTTAATTACAAGATGAGCACTTATTAATAATTAAGATAGCAAAAGAAAATAATTTTTAATATATTCTACTAATCAATACGAAACTATCAATATAAAACATTCCATACATATAAAAAAAACTAATTAATTTTGACATTTTCACATTTATTTAATTTTGACATTTAAGAATTTTTTTCTTATGAAAAAAATTCTTAAATGAATTCTTAAGAATTTTTTTCTTATGAAAAAAATTCTTAAATGATTCCTCTCTCTTCTATCATAATTTTTATGGCTGCAAAAACATACCTGTGCGTAAGTACCGATGATATTACAACTCCAAGCTTTAGATATCCAATAACTTTGTTGTTCGACAGTGCCCTGTCCCATGATAGCCGGTATAAACATGACGTAGTGCAGCGTCAACGGATTCCCGTCCTTCAGTATCGCCGAACCTAACATGCCTCCTAAGATTTGTCTATAGAACGCCACAAATTCTTTTATCGAATGACTCTCTCGTGGATGAATTCTTTATTTAATGAATTTTTTTTTTCACAAAACATTAAACTTTAATATTATACGCTATTCTTTTCTATTCTAATAATAAAATAGAACTCTATATTATTTAATATACGTGTAAATATCTTACGAGAAAACATCCACGCCGCCTTTTCCCGACTCCTGTAACTGTTGCACCTTTTGTATCACACGGCATCCTTTCATTATCGCTTCCTCATAAATTTCTTTGTGACTCTTATATTTTGCAGGAATTCTATCATGGAGCAGCGGATCGCTCAGGAAGAAGTTCTCTGCAAATAATTAGCTTGAATTACACAACTCAAAATTGATTTGATACTTTCTGAATAAATTAATACAAAAAATAATCAAAATTAAGATTAGAACATTATATATAAATTATAAGTTATGCAAAATATAACCTATGCAAGGTATATGTGATTAGAATATTATAATACATAATACATGTAACTCTTGTTGAAAGTTAAAAAAAATGAATGATAAAATGATGGAATTTTTGTGTCGCTATTTCAGATTTTTTTTTTTTTTAAAGTAGTGTAACTAATTCTTGCTAATTTGATGTATGTGTATATGCAAATATTATCAATACGTTTGCAATGGTTTTAAATTAATATAAAATTGCAAAATTATTCCACAGACAGATACATTGCGTGATTTATTTTTTATATACATGTCATACACAAGCGATTTTTTTTTAATTGAATTAAATTTATAATTAAAGATGCTTTAATTAGAAATCTTAGAATAAAGCATTTGACACACACTTTCGATTTTTCGATATTGAAAGTTTATCTCACTTTTGTCAAAGTATTTGAAATAATTGTTAGTTAACAAAAAATGTGCTATTGATGTAATTTAGTTGTTTTCAATATTTGCAGAATAACGATGTTTACGCAAGTCATTGGCGCATATCTCAATTCGCGTCATTATTAACAATAATTCACAGTAACTAATTAAATATGTTAATTACAAAATCGAATTAATAAGGCGAAAAACTAGCTAAGACATCTATTTTTATAAATAGATGAGACATCTTACTTTGGATTAAATATAATCGTAACAAAATTTACTATTCCATATATTTGTAACGGCTATCAGTTTTAAATGCGAGCTTAAGACAAAGATACGTGTCTTCAATACAAAATCAGCAATTTAAATCTAAAAGATAGCGAGCCGCTTATATACATATGCTCATATAATATAACACAAAATGATGAACACATTAAAATAAAAGATGCATATAATTACGATAATTTAGCACAATACTATAAATAACATGTTTTATCATGTATCATTGGAAGATATATGACATATTGTAGTATGATCAATTATATGTATATTATATGATTATAGCACTCACGATTAATTATTGATAGTAATTTTATAAATAATATATATATATATATATATATATATATATATATGAGTGTGTGTGTATGTGATTTATATATTTACATTATTTCACAAAATATATATAATATATAAAGAAAAAATATATATAGAGGATTTTACTAATTTTATATAGCAACAAATTTCAATATGTTTCACACGTTGATTATCAAACTAGTAAAAGAAATTTCTATCATAATTATAATTCTATCATAATAAGAAACAACACATTATATCTAGAAAACTATCATTAAAAAATATTCATTATCAAACTAGTAAAAGAAATTACTATCATTACAAAATATTCATCTATAAAATATATAGCAATATATGAGGCAAAAAAATATGATACCAAAATCCATCGATTATGTAGAATATGACTGCAGAGCTCCTATTACCTCTATATCAAATGATGAGAGCGGGAAATCATAATAACTATGATTATCATAATAATTATTAAATCATAATTAATCATAATTAAATCATAATTAATAGATTTGCTCTCGCAAAAAAATACATCAAGTTAAATCAGTCTCTATTATCATTATCATATTCCAAAGTACAGATGATATAATAAAATACATCACATAAACACATTTTTTTGTCATTAACGATTATTTTGTATATGTATATTATATGATTATAGTACTCGCAATTAATTATTGATAGTAATTTTATAAATAATATATATATATATATATATATGTGTGTGTGTGTGTGTGTGTGTGTGTGTGTGTGTGTTTTTATATAATTAATATGATTGGCATGAATAATCAGTTAAATACTTCGCAAATGCACATATTTAATCTGTACAAGTATTTTACATTTAAATTTATTTTACATTTAGCAGTCTGATCGATTAAGATTTTCAGCTATTTATTAAACTGTGAATTTAATTATTTTAATATATTTTACAAGAAGAGAATTTATGTGATTTTTTCATCTCTGACGTCAAATTCTATTTAACTGCGGTGAGGGATCCGGCCTCTCAAGTATTACAAAATAAATTGAGTAAGTCCAAGTGTGATGAGTTTATTCTCTTTAACTGATGTAGTACGCGCTACAGAAAGATTATTTAAATTGTTATGTTTACATTTGTTGAGTGGAATGACTATAATAAAAAAGACGCGTGCACAATTATGCAGAAAATTTTTGTAATAACGAATTAGCAAGAATCTTGCTGATGCAAATGTTTTTTTTCTAAACAAAATTCATTAATCGCGCTTATCATACATATCTCTCATTGTCAGACAGAACACTTGTAATAACATATATTGCATCCAAATAATTTTTTTTAAAGCGATAACATTATTATTTTTCATTCCGTTGCAAAAACTGTTAAATCAATATTATTATCGAGAGACTATAACGTGAAATATAAATTGAAAATGACGTATTCAGATCATATTCTGTAGAAAAAGAAACAATTTTTTTTTAATTTCTCTTGTCGCAGCTTCTGCATTTTAATCTCTTCTTAAAGGCCTTTGCACGTACAAAAATTTTAGTCGTAACCGTAAGAAAACTGACCAATCATAGTTGATTATTCTTTTATCGCAGGAAGAATACTCGATTATGATTTATCAGTTTTTTCACGACATTACAACTAAAGTTTTTGTACGTGCAAAGGTCTTAACGTCTCACTCGAATACGCGGAAATGCATGTAATGCATATGAGTGTATGTGCGGTAAAAAATTATATGCGCCTGTTTTTATTCTAACGTTTATATAGCTGTTTATACATGCTTTTCTTTGAACGCAATTGTTAATTCTCAACAATTTGCATTAAAGATCTTGCTACTCATTATTTTCGATTAATGTCAAGTGATTATGATTATATCGTATATCGCGCTAGAAAATTATACGTGTTCTTATTCTTGACATAACGGACAATAGTACAACTTTGTTGGCAGAACACCAACTTTGCGATAATTTTCTTCGATAAGACAATTAAATCTAACGTCCACCGTTTTATCGAGTAACGAGAGATAAAGCAAAAGAGAGATAAAGAGAAAGACAGTGAGAGGAAACCGATAAGAGCTTGCGCAATGTTTGCCCGTGTAAATAAAATGTTCTATCTCTCTTTTCTCGTTTAATCACTCGGACAATCTCTAATCTGAATAGTCGCGCGCGCGATCGCTGCAACTATGGAAAAGAAAACGCGGGAATGATTTTCGGACACGCGAAAGTCACCGGAAACGTACGATGCGCGAATCTCGTTCAATCAACAAAGCGACGTACCTCGCTCTCGCCGCTGCGACGTTTTCTTCGAATCGCCATCCCAGAAGTGCGTAAGCTCCATGGGATTGAAGCTGCATCTTTCGCGTTCACGTCGTAGATCCGAGTTTATCGTCACCATTCTGATTCTCGTTCAATAACTCGGCTACACTTTGCGGAACAATATGTCACACGGTCCAGAGCATGTGCCAATATACTCGCGTGAATTACCGGTTACACTATTGCGCGCCTTGCACTCGATGATAAACGAACCGTTAATTACAGACTCGAGCAACTGAACACTGTAACTGTACATGTGTATCATATATCCCGCATTCCCACTTCATTCTCTTGTAAAGCGACGACCGACACAAGGCAGGACGCCAACGACATCTCGGTATTCGTTCAGTCTCTTCGGCTCTTGTAAAGTGACGACCGACATAGCAGAGAGAAACCTGAGAGCGGCCACCAGCCTCGACGGGCACATTTCTCGATGCTTGACGCGCCGTCTGACAAAGTGGATGTGAACTATGTCCATTACACTCGGTAACGAAACATGGTTTGTGTCTATGATATGGGTTCATGTCCGAACTATTCAGAGATGGACAGTCGGATAAGAATCGATAATTCATCGTTCTGTTTTTGTCTCATCAATGACAGACCACGCGACTGCCACGCGACGAGCTTACGATTTTGCTTTTCTCTTTCATTCGTCGCACTTTCACGTTCTTCGTTATGATGTAATAACGAAATGATCTTCACATAATCCTAATTTTTTAAGGGTATTGGCAGACAAGTTTTCCAACTTTGTATGTCCTGTAACAAAAATACAACACATTATGAAAATTACGATTACATGCTTACTTCAAGCTGCCATAGCAATTGGTATACCGAATGTTTGGTAAAAAAAAATTTTTTTATGTCAGGCGTGTTGGTTATGATCAATTCGATAAAGTGCTCCTTCATAATACCGCGTAGCAGTGCAAGTAAGTTCGAATCTCCCTGCTGTCGTTTTTTTTATTTTTATTTTATGAAATAATAAACTAACAAATAATATGTATTGAATTTGGGAGCAGAAAAGGTAAAAAATTAATAAAATAATGACAATTATTGCACAAAAACATACTTGTATTGCCTATCTATGTATTGCATCTTGTATCCTTCTGCATTGGAAATCGGAATAGCCGTTTCCTATGCGAAAATCTCCCATTCTTACATTATTTACTTTATTTCTATACACGCACTTATCATAATAACTATCTATAGAGCACTGACTCGACATAGTGATTGTTTATTATAATGCAAAACAAAAAAATATAAAAATAAAATTAAAAAAACTTAAAAATAGAAATAAAAAAGAAATACAACACGTGATAAAAAAATACAAAAATTACACAACCAACACAATAAAAGCATATACGCACGACGAGATCGATGATGCGATGATGATCTCTTTACAAATCATGTTCTCCTAATAACGAAAACGCGAAAATTTTCGAAAATTCGTTTCTTATTATCTTATATTATCAGGAGAATATATTTTGCGAGTAGGTCGATTATGATTTGATGACCTCTTTACAAATCATGTTCTCCTAATAACGCAAGCGTGAAAACTTTCGAAAATTCGTTTCTTATTATTTTATATTATCAGGAGAATATATTTTGCGAGAAGGTCGATGATGCGTTGATGATCTCTTTACAAATCATGTTCTCCTAATAACGCAAGCGTGAAAATTTTCGAAAATTCGTTTCTTATAATTTATATTATCAGGAGAATATATTGTGCGAGGAGGTCGATGATGCGTTGATGACCTCTTTACAAATCATGTTCTCCTAATAACGCAAGCGTGAAAATTTTCGAAAATTCGTTTCTTATAATTTATATTATCAGGAGAATATATTGTGCGAAGAGGTCGATGATGCGTTGATGACTTCTTTACAAATCATGTTCTCCTAATAACGCAAACGTGAAAATTTTCGAAAATTCGTTTCTTATAATTTATATTATCAAGAGAATATATTTTGCGAGGAGGTCGATGATGCGTTGATGACCTCTTTACAAATCATGTTCTCCTAATAACGCAAGCGTGAAAATTTTCGAAAATTCGTTTCTTATAATTTATATTATCAGAGAATATATTTTGCGAGGAGCTCGATGATACGTTGATGACCTCTTTACAAATCATGTTCTCCTAATAACGCAAGCGTGAAAATTTTCGAAAATTCGTTTCTTATAATTTATATTATGAAGAGAATATATTTTGCGAGGAGCTCGATGATGCGTTGATGACCTCTTTACAAATCATGTTCTCCTAATAACGCAAGCGCGAAAATTTTCGAAAATTCGTTTCTTATATTTTATATTATCAGGAGAATATATTTTGCGAGGAGGTCGATGATGCGTTGATGACCTCTTTACAAATCATGTTCTCCTAATAACGCAAGCGCGAAAATTTTCGAAAAATCGTTTCTTATAATTTATATTATCAGGAGAATATATTGTGCGAGGAGGTCGATGATGCGTTGATGACCTCTTTACAAATCATGTTCTCCTAATAACGCAAGCGCGACAATTTTCGAAAATTCGTTTCTTATAATTTATATTATCAGGAGAATATATTTTGCGAGGAGGTCGATGATGCGTTGATGACCTCTTTACAAATCATGTTCTCCTAATAACGCAAGCGTGAAAATTTTAGAAAATTCGTTTCTTATTATTTTATATTATCAGGAGAATATATTTTGCGACGAGGTCGATGATGCGTTGATGACCTCTTTACAAATCATGTTCTCCTAATAACGCAAGCGTGAAAATTTTCGAAAATTCGTTTCTTATCATTTATATTATCAGGAGAATATATTGTGCGAGGATGTCGATGATGCGTTGATTACCTCTTTACAAATCATGTTCTCCTAATAACGCAAGCGCGAAAATTTTCGAAAATTCGTTTCTTATAATTTATATGATCAGGAGAATATATTGTGCGAAGAGGTCGATGATGCGTTGATGACTTCTTTACAAATCATGTTCTCCTAATAACGCAAACGTGAAATTTTTCGAAAATTCGTTTCTTATAATTTATATTATCAGGAGAATATATTTTGCGAGGAGGTCGATAATGCGTTGATGACCTCTTTACAAATCATGTTCTCCTAATAACGCAAACGTGAAAATTTTCGAAAATTCGTTTCTTATAATTTATATTATGAAGAGAATATATTTTGCGAGGAGGTCGATGATGCGTTGATGACCTCTTTACAAATCATGTTCTCCTAATAACGCAAGCGTGAAAATTTTCGAAAATTCGTTTCTTATAATTTATATTATGAAGAGAATATATTTTGCGAGGAGGTCGATGATGCGTTGATGACCTCTTTACAAATCATGTTCTCCTAATAACGCAAGCGCGAAAATTTTCGAAAAATCGTTTCTTATAATTTATATTATCAGGAGAATATATTTTGCGAGGGGGTCGATGATGCGTTGATGATCTTTTTACAAATCCTGTTCTCCTAATAACGCAAGCGCGAAAATTTTCGAAAATTCGTTTCTTATAATTTATATTATCAGGAGAATATATTGTGCGAGGAGGTCGATGATGCGTTGATGATCTTTTTACAAATCATGTTCTCCTAATAACGCAAGCGCGAAAATTTTCGAAAATTCGTTTCTTATAATTTAGATGATCAGGAGAATATATTGTGCGAAGAGGTCGATGATGCGTTGATGACTTCATTACAAATCATGTTCTTTTAATAACGCAAACGTGAAAATTTTCGAAAATTCGTTTCTTATAATTTATATTATCAAGAGAATATATTTTGCGAGGAGGTCGATGATGCGTTGATGACCTCTTTACAAATCATGTTCTCCTAATAACGCAAGCGCGAAAATTTTCGAAAATTCGTTTCTTATAATTTATATTATCAGGAGAATATATTTTGCGAGGAGGTCGATGATGCGTTGATGACCTCTTTACAAATCATGTTCTCCTAATAACGCAAGCGTGAAAATTTTAGAAAATTCGTTTCTTATTATTTTATATTATCAGGAGAATATATTTTGCGAGGAGGTCGATGATGCGTTGATGACCTCTTTACAAATCATGTTCTCCTAATAACGCAAGCGTGAAAATTTTAGAAAATTCGTTTCTTATTATTTTATATTATCAGGAGAATATATTTTGCGAGGAGGTCGGAGATGCGTTGATGACCTCTTTACAAATCATGTTTTCCTAATAACGCAAGCGTGAAAATTTTCGATAATTCGTTTCTTATTATTTTATATTATCCGGAGAATATATTTTGCGAGGAGGTCGATGATGCGTTGATGACCTCTTTACAAATCATGTTCTCCTAATAACGCAAGCGTGAAAATTTTCGAAAATTCGTTTCTTATTATTTTATATTATCAGGAGAATATATTGTGCGAAGAGGTCGATGATGCGTTGATGACCTCTTTACAAGTCATGTTCTCCTAATAACGCAAACGTGAAATATTTCGAAAATTCGTTTCTTATAATTTATATTATCAAGAGAATATATTTTGCGAGGAGGTCGATGATGCGTTGATGACCTCTTTACAAATCATGTTCTCCTAATAACGCAAGCGCGAAAATTTTCGAAAATTCGTTTCTTATAATTTATATTATCAGGAGAATATATTTTGCGAGGAGGTCGATGATGCGTTGATGACCTCTTTACAAATCCTGTTCTCCTAATAACGCAAGCGTGAAAATTTTAGAAAATTCGTTTCTTATTATTTTATATTATCAGAAGAATATATTTTGCGAGGAGGTCGATGATGCGTTGATGACCTCTTTACAAATCATTTTCTCCTAATAACGCAAGCGTGAAAATTTTCGAAAATTCGTTTCTTATTATTTTATATTATCAGGAGAATATATTTTGCGAGGGGGTCGATGATGCGTTGATGATCTTTTTACAAATCATGTTCTCCTAATAACGCAAGCGCGAAAATTTTCGAAAATTCGTTTCTTATAATTTATATTATCAGGAGAATATATTGTGCGAGGAGGTCGATGATGCGTTGATGACCTCTTTAGAAATCCTGTTCTCCTAATAATGCAAACGTGTAAATTTTCGAAAATTCGTTTCTTATAATTTATATGATCAGGAGAATATATTGTGCGAGGAGGTCGATGATGCGTTGATAACCTCTTTCCAAATCATGTTCTCCTAATAACGCAAGCGTGAAAATTTTCGATAATTCGTTTCTTATTATTTTATATTATCAGGAGAATATATTTTGCGAGGAGGTCGATGATGCGTTGATGACCTCTTTACAAATCATGTTCTCCTAATAACGCAAGCGTGAAAATTTTCGAAAATTCGTTTCTTATTATTTTATATTATCAGGAGAATATATTTTGCGAGGAGATCGATGATGCGTTGATGACCTCTTTACAAATCATGTTCTTCTAATAACGCAAGCGTGAAAATTTTCGAAAATTCGTTTCTTATTATTTTATATTATCAGGAGAATATATTTTGCGAGGAGGTCGATGATGCGTTGATGACCTCTTTACAAATCATGTTCTTCTAATAACGCAAGCGTGAAAATTTTCGAAAATTCGTTTCTTATTATTTTATATTATCAGGAGAATATATTTTGCGAGGAGGTCGAAGATGCGTTGATGACCTCTTTACAAATCATGTTCTCCTAATAACGCAAGCGTGAAAATTTTCGAAAATTCGTTTCTTATTATTTTATATTATCAGGAGAATATATTTTGCGAGGAGGTCGAAGATGCGTTGATGACCTCTTTACAAATCATGTTCTCCTAATAACGCATTTAAAAAAAAAAAAAAATTTCGCGAACATTTAATGTTCGAAATAATTTACGCATTGCCATCCGCGTTTTGTGGGCTCTTAATGCTCTTTACTTAATTATCATGTTGATAAATACATAGAGCCGTATTATTTACCTATTTATTTTGAAAAATATTTATTTCATCTTTGAATATTACAGTATCTGTCGCGATTGAATAATTTATTTATTATCAATTTACACACATAAGTATTTAATTGTTATATAGCACTGGTGCTACCGGCATTTAGCACATAGCACGGCAAAAAATCTGAAATTGTGCAATTATATATTACCCTCTGAGAACATTCATGGAGTTTGACTTTGTAGTTCATGTCCATGTTTTGAATGTCCATAGAGGGAGTATCACTTTTGGGGTCACTCCATAGCTTGGACATGAACCATAGCTCAGACACGAACCACGTATTATTATCGACTTTAATGGATGAAGTTGACGTCCACTTTGTCAGGGAGCGCATTAGGACAATATACCCGTTAAAGCGAGGTGGCCGCTCTCAGGTTTCTCTCTGGACATAGCATACCGACCAAGCATAGACTTATATAATAGACTGACCCCTACCGTAAGAGGCAGCGTTGAAAGATCTAAAGGACAGATAGATGATTCCGGGTATCTCTGTCCTTCTCTTTTTTCTCGTGGTGAGGACACTGTAGGAGTGAGGAGAAAGCAGTGTGCATGCTCGCTTCGTTTTCACTCATCCCATCAGTGTCCCCACCACGAGACAAAAGAGAAGGATAGAGATATCCGGAATCTTCTCTCTGTCTTCCTTTGGATCTTTCAACGCTACCTCTTACGGTAGGGGCCAGTCTACTATATAAGTCTATGGACATAAGGCACGACGCCAACGACATCTCGTTATAAATCCTATAATTCTGTACAGCAACATTTGATAAAACAGTTGTATCGTACGGATAAACGAAATCCGTCATAATAAAGAAATTTGTATTTTCAAAAGATACATAGATTTTTAGGAAAGAATACTGAAAGTTTATTTCATAAAAAAGATCTCTGAAAAATTTACTATAAAAATATATAAAATTGAATACAAAAATTATTACATGCTCCTATATTTATGATAAATCTATCACCACTACTGGTTCTTCGAACATGCCACAGAACTCTTTACAATAATATCTTCCATTGCGTATCTAATCTTAATAAACACTCTTTTAAATTCCAAACCGCATCCTTTAGACAAGCGGAAATCGACTAAAACATTTCCATCCATTTCTATAAAATTTGTTTTAAACACGAGTGGCATTTTTCGCCGATCTATCGTTGATATTGTGAGCTACAAATATATAACCATATTATTATCTTCTGTTTCTTTGATAAATTAAATTTACTTTTGCACTCTCTTTATATCACTTACCACACCAAATTCGTTAAGGCGATAAACATAATTTTCCTTCTCGCAATATCTTATTAGCCTCTTTATAATATCCTCACATTCTATCTTAACAAAGAATCTAGTCATTCGGCGGACTAATCTTTGGAAAGAATTTTGCTGCAAGTAAAATATAATATTATAGGATTATTTTATACTCTATTTTTTGCGATATATTATGTGGTATTATTTTATATTCTACTTTATTGTAATACATAACGTGATACATTATTTAGTAAAGCGTGTTGTACCTGACTGGGCTGTGTAAGTGCTTGTAATTGCGTACATAATAAAAGATCTTCCATATGAGCAGGTTGAGAAAATGAAAACGCTGGCCGCTCATCTAAATTGAATTGAATTGTATTACAATTATCCGTTCGAGGGAATTCAGGTTGTGACAAGCAAACATTTCTTAAACTTTCGTCCTCTGTAGATGCTAGATTCAAGTGACTTCGTGCATCTACCTCATCACCTATAAATTGCGAATATTTTATTTTCAATATCATAGGAAATATATCTACTAAAAAATCGCATAGAATTATTAAATTCTTATATTATTCTACACATAAAACTTGACTAGTTTCACATATCAGTCTAGGAGTATGCCAATGCTCTCTGCTTTGGTAATCTAGCTTTATGATGCTTGATTAAACTCATAGAGCTGTATTACCAAAGAAAAGGCAAGAGCTTCATTGATGATAAAACTCCCCATATTATATTCTTTCTATGTTTGTGTGCACCTATTTAATTAACATAAAGTAACTTACGCAGAAAAGAAGCAATAAGAATTCGTTGCATACAGTATCCACTAAATTAGGTACCAAGTTACTTTGAGTAATTTTATTAATACTCAGAGTCACTCAGTACCTGACTAAGTAAACACTATCCTGCGGTTTCTATAAATTAATGTTAATCTTCTGCAAGTATTAACAAAATACCGTTATGCTAAAATTATTTTATATAACTATATTCTGAATGTTTTTCTAAGAGTATCAATCTAAAAAGCTACCTTTAACAAAGCTCGTGACAAACCATCTATGGTGTTTAATGTCTGATATTTTGTATCTCATTGATGGTGAATCCACAAGAATTTTTCTAATTAACGATAATGACGAATTGTCCAATTTCTTCCATGGTGTAAGAGACATATATTTCCGTTCTTTCCATGCAACATATTCAGGACACTCTGCCAAGGGTTGATCCCACGGCAGTTCTATATTTCAGACATGGACCAGTTAAAAACTGAGAAATGTAAGTTAGATGTTAGATATTTTAATAGATGTAAAATTAAAAGATTAACACATTGACTTTTATGTTACACACAATTATTTATTTCTTTAAATGTAAAATAATAGTAACCAATTCCAACTTGGATAGTTTTATCAGAATAAATCAACATATAATTGCGTATAATAAATTTAGAGACTGAAGAACAATATAATCATAAATAACCTGTGTTTTCTTTTTATACAGGATATTTAAAAAATAACGAATTTTTTTATCCCACTATATTTAATATATTTATATTATATTATATTAGTATTTATTTTTAACAAAAAAATAACATTCTTGATTTGATAAACACTCTTGTCAAAAATCCATAGTAAATATAAAATGTTTATATTGAGAATGAAAGCATTTCTAGATTGAATTCATACGATCTGTTCTCTCATATATAAAACAAATAGAATACACTTTTAAAGTTTATCTACTCATAAACCCCTGTATATTTCATATAATTTTGTACAAAAAATTTACCTCCAGCTAATAAAGCCACAAGGATGATTCCACAAGACCATACATCTGCAGGTTCAGCATGATACGATCTTACTAGTACTTCTGGTGCAACATAAGGTAATGTTCCACATTTTTTTTCCAATAAACGTTCTTTCCCTTGCATACTGAATATTGTTGCTAATCCAAAGTCACTGATCTTTAAATTGTCATTATCGTCTAAAAGTAAATTCTCTGGTTTAAGATCTCTGTGCGTAACTCCTCGACTATGTAGATACTCTACTCCAGAAATTAATTGTCTAAAATACTTTTGCGCTTCCCATACTGGCATACCGATATCAGGTTCTGTAAAGATTATATTAAATTTTTTATATACATTTTAATATTCTAAAATATTTCATGAAATGGCTCGTATATTGTTTATTTTACATTATCAATTTTTAATTAATCTTACCAATTCTGTCAAATAACTCTCCACCCGAGGCATATTGTAAAAATATATATTCCATGTTAGGCTCACTGCGCTTCCCAAAGTATTGTATTATATTAGGATGCGACAACATACGATGAATAGCAGTTTCCTTACGAACTGTTTGACTCGCATCTTGATGTTTCTCTATGTCAATCATTTTCATAGCGACAACTTCGCCTGTAGATTTGTTTACAACTAGTCTGACCCTGCAATTAGTCACATGGGATAAATTGTAATTATACGCACAATATTTTATTATTACATAAATAATACATTCCTCTAATTAAATATATATAAATTCTTGTTTATAAAAAAATTCAGAGGAAAAAAAGCGACATTAAATTGAATAAAACTTCTCATTAATAACAATCACACGAATATTCCATCTAATTCAAACAATGAGAACAATGGATCATTCGAGAATCGAGCAAACATATACGTCGAAAAACTATACAAATATAAAAATTATGGAGCAAAGCAAAAAGACGCTTACTCGCCGTAGGCTCCTTCGCCCAGGGTATGGCCAAAAAACCAGCCGTCCACGAATTCGATCATTCCGGCATACCTTTCTTTATTCGACGCGACGAAACGTTCACGGTCCCCTGTCGCGCTCGCTGCGCAAAATAATTGCGTGTTTCGTGTAACAGCGGCGATCTTAATCGTCGGCCGAGAAAGGCGAGTCCGTGAAATCGAAAACGTCGGACGCGCCGAGTCGCGTCGCGAAGAAAACGCTTCCTGGCGCGCGAGAGCGAGAGCGAGTCGACTGTAACGGCCGACAGGATATTCAAAGCACGTGGTTACAGCGGGTTACATGGAGGAATCGTGTCGCGCGACTCGACCGAAAGCCGGCACGGCGCGAAAATCATCGTCGCGCGCTCCCGCCAATTTATGATTCCGCGCGACACTACAAAACGACACGCGACACGCGTACAATTGACGATACGATCGTCCCCGATAAAACGCCCGAAATTACCACGTTTCTTCCGGAACCCCGAAAATTCGTGCTACTCCGGACCACGCGACAGAGAGAAAGAGGAGGGGAAGAGAAAGAGAGACAGAGAGAAGAAATGATGGATCGAGCGTTGTCGCTATTCGCGATACATTAAGCCTGCTTCGCAATGAAAATTTCAAATCATATTGGAAACGTTCCTTGTTGCGTTAGATCGACAAGCGAGTAATTACTGTTTACCGCACGTGTCTCAAACTCTTGTTACATAATTATCGATTCCTGGCTTCTTCTCTCGATTATCGTCCCGTAATTGGATATTTCTCGCGGTATTGAATTTCGCATGTTTTTCGTATCAACATTACAGCATAATTAATGTTCTTATGTTTGTTTCCGCGCGCGCCCATCTAGCGAGCTCTTTTATCCGTGGCAAACGCCAACAGCGCTCAACAGTCGTTCCATTCAGTGACAATCTGGCGTCTGCTTCGATGTTTGGCGATCGTTTGTAGCTGCTAAAATTTTGCGTGCGTCGTGTGATTTATATTTGTGGAAAAGAAACAATCGCGTAGATATCGGTAACATCGCGCTGCTTCATCGTCGACACGAAGAAACGTCAGAAGCGGAACGCATCTATCTACGAGAAGACATTTGCGGAGGAGGAACGCGTCCCTTCGCTCGCAGATACATCTCGTAACGTCGAGATCTCCCTCTGGCACTTGGCATCGACGCGCGAATCGCGTCGCATCACCTCGTCCTTTCTTCCTTTCATCCTTCGCTACTTGAGAATTTACAGAAGTGAAGAGAAAACGAAATGGGAACGTTTTGCTACAACTTCAGCAAGTACGCATTGATGGTCGTGAGCTTTGTATTTTTGGTGAGTCTCCCTTCGCGTCTCTGTCAGATCGATACGCGCCTTTTCCCTCCACCCGCGGACGATTTAATTCATCGGGATATACCGTTTAGTCGACGAACGTTTTTTTATTCTTCCAAGAGAGCAGATTTTCTCCAATTTATTTTATAAATTGTATTATTTTGTATTGTAATATTGTATTATTAATTATACTTATATTATTTATTCACTTATTAGAGCGTTTAAATTTTGATCGAAGATCGTGCGAAACTTTGCTTTCGTTATAGCTCGCAGTCGTTTTATCACTGATACCCTTTCGTTCATGTTTTGATTCGATATTACTTTTATGAAGCGCAACGCTGATAATGTGTTGAATTTTTCTCATCGTGGTAGAAACATCAATTTTATTATCTATTTCGTTAGCATTTTATTTTTAAAAAGAGGAAGAAGGAATTTACTTTTCGCAATTAAGATTACGAATAAGATTACGAATGCACGTGAGCGATCGCGAGACCGAAATATCGATGATGACTTAAAGTGCAGGCCAAAAGTACATAAAACGTAGATCGAAGAATAGAGATGTAAGAGACCTTCGAATCGAACGATAATATGATTTTCAACGAGATGAATAAGTATTAACTTAACCACTCGCCAACGACACGAGCTCTGTTTTCTTATTAGCCGAAGACATTTGTCGCGCGCGAACAAATATAAAGATATCCGGACATGTGTAATTACGAAATATTCATCTTGGATAAATGTGCGTTTAAATATAGTTTTGTAGTCAAAGAGAACGAACATGTTCCTCCTACGAACCTTCGGCCCACGCCGCGGCCCCGTTTCCTCTCTTCTCCTCCTTCATCTCTCTTGTTAAGAGTATCGCGACAAAAGAGAACGTCTTTAGACTGCATCTTGTACCGATTATATTTGATATATGTAATGCTATTTTGTAAGCTGCTTGAAAACTTGTTGTCGAGTTTATAAAAACAACGAGCCCTGAAATTAAAGTGATTTCGCGCAAACAGATTCCAAAAGTGATATTTTGTCGCAGATTTATCGCGATGAGATTGTGACAATCAAAAGAGAAAAATGATTGTTGATCTAAACGTTTCAGATTTAAGTCACTTCAGTGAATATTAACTCTGATATTAGCTCATTGGAATCCGTCTGATTCATCAGATCGCTTTTAGTTTTTCGCTCTCTTACATCAATTCTCTCGCTCATACAGGGTGTCCGGAAAATTTAAATTTTGAAATTTAAGATTTAAATTTAAAAATTTAAATTTAAATTTTGAAATTTAAATTTAAATTTAAAAGTTTAAATTTAAATTTTGAAATTTAAGATTTAAATTTAAAAATTTAAATTTAAATTTAAAAGTTTAAATTTAAATTTTGAAATTTAAGATTTAAATTTAAAAATTTAAATTTAAATTTTGAAATTTAAATTTAAATTTAAAAGTTTAAATTTAAATTTTGAAATTTAAATTTAAATTTAAAAATTTAAATTTAAATTTTGAAATTTAAATTTAAAATTTAAAATTCAAAAATTTAAATTTTAAAGTTTTAAATTTTAAAAAAGGGATGCCAAGTAGATTAAATTACGATTTTTTTAACGTAAAAAGGGCTATAATTCGGAAACGACTTATTTTTGGACTTATGTTTACATAACTTTTTTTCGTTCTTTTTGGGTCCCGAATCACTTCCCGAAGTACTGCGGGTGATTTTCCGGACACTCTGTATAGACTTACGATGAATAAAAAGTAGGATACGGGAAGTCTTTTCAAGTTATGCTTATGTAAGTCTCATTATATATAAATTGATAGTTATCGCGGTTAGTAAAGTTGGCGGTTAGTAAACATTTTCTCTCAAAGTAGAAATAATAAAGATTTTCCGCGCGTTTTCAATTATTCGCAATAATAGAGGACCTAAAAGCATCGCTATCAGTTTTAATTAATTATAAATAAATATTTAAGAGATAATATATATTTGACAAGATGTTGCACCGCTCGATTTCGAGAATATCTGAGATTCTTTACTTTCTTTTCACTTATTTCTTCGCACAAGCGGAAATTTGATACGTGTATAAAAATACCGAAATTTCCCATTCAGCAATTTTAACATCGCGTTTTCTTCAAAATTGCGTATATTAGTATGTTTTTGCGATTTATTTCTCTTATCTCTTTAAAGATAGAAATCGTATATTATTTTCATTTGTGAGAAAAATATTCTTGAAATATTCCAAAAATTCCAAACTCCCTTTTTTTAGAAAGAGTCGTGTCAGTTCCACAAATATTTGATTCCATATTAACACATATATTTTTCATTTATATTCATTTATACATGCTAATTGACTAATGTACTAATACTTGAAAATGGCGCGCGGTGCTTTGAATGTTAACCATCTCTTTTGAGACACGAACTCGGTACGTCCGGTGAAACACGTTTTAAGACACGACGCAGGAAATCCCATAAAAATTCGCGCGCTTAAATGGAAGCTCCACCACATCTGGCGGACAGACTGTTCCATTGTAAATGTCGCATCTTCTCTTCTGTCCTGTCGCGTGCTGGGTTTGGTTCGTTAAAGTGGCTCGTTAGTCTTCCTCCCATTCTGCTGAAACCACGCGTACCTGAAAAGTTGTGCTCTTTGTACATACTAAAGCTCTTTCAATAGAAGAATTCGTCGCAAATTCGAGCTTTCCAGAAATAAATTCTAAATATAAAATTGTACGAGTAAAGAGGTATAGAGTATAAGAGTATATCTTTTAGAAAAATTTATAATTAAGCAAGATATATGATGATCTTATAGATTATCGCGATAACGGTGATAGCCCTGGCAGCATGGATGTTGACGGACAAAACATTCTTGGTGTCCATCGCTCAAGAAAGCAACAATTACGACGCGGGTCTGTATATCCTGCTCGCCGCTGGTATCCTCATGTTCATCGTCGCCTTCTTAGGCTGCTACGGTGCTTTTAAGCACTCTCGGTGTAGTCTAATCACATTCTTCGTCATTATGCTCGTCATTATCGTCGCGCAAATAGCTTCCGCAGGCTGGCTTTACACTAACTGCGATCGACTAGATGAACTGTTGAGATCTTCCGTGTCAAACACTGTTAAGGTAATTTTTCCTGTAATTATTTAATTTATGATTACATAATTAATCACAGTACATTAAGGAACGTATAAATAGACGTCGCGTTATCTTTACAGAAGGAGTATGGCGAGGTAGAATGTCGTACGCAAATCATGGACACGATTCAATCCGGTCTCGAATGCTGCGGAGCCAATGGACCTGCGGATTGGGCCGGTAGCAAGTACGGATCCCTCAGCAAGGATCCTTCTCTTCCAATTAGTTTGACCGTCTCCGCCGATGCCGACAACATGTACAAAGTACCAGAATCATGTTGCAAAGAGATACACAGTAGTGCCTGCAATGAGAGTCGCAACCTTAAAATTGCCGGAATTGTGAGTCCTGCGATCTACAATGAGGTAACACTTAATTTTATATCTTTTTAATAATTTTATATTTGTTGCATAATTTTTTACGCGCGCATCGTGCATTAAATACTTATAAAGTCGAGATAAAAAATTGTATTGCAGGGATGCACACAAAAATTGGTGGACACGCTCAAGGGTCAAACTTCTAACGTTATGATTATAGCGTTATTGGTTCTAATCGTAGAAATCCTTGGTTTGATACTTGCTTTAATTTGTTGCTGCGAAGGCGGTGCGTCGGATAGATATAAAGCTTAAATTAATTTATCGTATAAGAATCTCTCTGTCTTGCTGAATCCCCATGTCCCATAGTAATGTTGTATGGAGAATATCGAAATTTTACTTTTCCGTGCCAATGCTAATAATACTTTACAAATTGTGTTTTTATATTTGGTCATATACCAGATGGCCGAAATATTCTCTCGATTGATACAAAACCCTTTGGATAAGTATTTTATATACTGTATCATATATCATCTTATGCGAATTGGTACGCATTATTTTGGGACCAATTCAAGATCTTATATATATAATATAATAGCACCATTTTATAATTTTTTTTCTTTGTAAATAACTTGATATATTGGATACATATTTTACAAGATTGATTTATAATTTATTTTTATGACATACTGAATAACTCATATCAGTGTGAGTAATATGTATATCGAATTTTTGGTTGATTTATCTTAAAAGAAATATAAAGATAAATTGCACACAGGTATCTTCATTGAAACATGTAATTATATGCAATCTTTATCGAGACATGTACATAAATTTCAAAGAAAGATTATATCCATGCACAAATTGAGGCTACTGGTTAAAAGCTAGGGCAAAATTTATGGAATATATTTACACTAATTTAAGTAGATTTATATTGATTTAAATTAGTGCAAATATAATCATTTGAGATATAATGTGTATATAAGTCATTCAAAAAAGATTTGAGAGAAACAGCAGGACTGTAGAAAAAGTCTGATTAGATAAATGCTTCCTGAACATTTCTAATATTCGTCACATTAGTTTCATGATATTATCGGATTTTAATATCATCTTGATCTTATATATACACCTGTATATCTCTCTCTCTCACACACACACACACACACACACACACACACACACACACACACATATATATATGACATACATACATACATACACATATATCGATATATATACTTCAGAAGAAAAATTTCACAGATTAATTGATGCAAATTTAATGTTTTAATGAAAATGTTTTATATTCGGTTTTGCCGATTACTGCCAAAAAAGAATAAAGAATGCTTCTATTATATACAAATATATATTTTTGTTCAGTTTAAAGACTTATATATACATAAGCATTTAATATATATCTGTATATCTTTTACAAGGTACCTACACAGCTAGATTTTCTTCGGGCCAAAGTAGTAAACCAAACTAGCGCATTGCGTTGATATTTAAAGTGAAAATTGTATTTTAAAGTGAAAATTGTATAATATAAGAGGTATATTATAGAAATATTATTTCTATGACAAACAACATATATTTTGTTGTATCTGACATTTATAATGTATCTTATATATGTTTAATATTTTAAACAATATTGTAATTATAAGTTTTAATTTTATCTCATTTATCGCTAGTAAATTAAAAGCTGCGTTTTCATTTAACTAATTTTAATCAATTATAATGTTTAATTATCTGAGAAGAATTCTCATACTGATATTAGTATCTCATACTGATATTAGTATCTCATATCTTATATTAGTTAATATTTTTGACGCTTAATCTCGCAAATCAAAATGGATGAAAAAATATTAACATACTTATGATCAACGTAGCTCTTGTACTTTAATCTGCAGCGCAATCGTTATAGTATCTAGTCTATATAGAAACGATTAATATTAACGTATCGATTTACTTGCTTTGTCTTATGAGAGAAATATTATATTTTATATATGTTATTTTTTATACATATATTGACGCGATTATATTTTATACATATATAATGACGCGATTATATTTATATATGTTCTATATTAAATACACCAATAATCGTTACCGCCAATTTTTGAAAAATTACTGTATAATGAGTAGTGATGTGTCCAATTTTAATTATAAATTGTATTGCAACTGAAATTATTGTACCGAAAACTATCTTTGCAGACAGCGTGTTTTATTACAATATCAATATTTTTGTATCATTATGTAACAAAATCTAAATAGTCTTCGCATCTTTGTATCATATTTAATATGCATGTAACATATTTGATGTGCTATATAACATGTGCTTTTCCTTAATTTCATTTATATTAATAAACATATGACTAGTATATGCAATGATTTAAAAATGCATTGTATATTATAAAAGTCGTATATTTATACAATGTTTGATGTACATTACATAATTATATGTATAATGTACGCTTTATTGTAATTAAAATTTTTGCAAGAGCATTGATTATAAGAAATTGAGCAATACTCGAAAAATTTGCGTTTTAAAATTAAGTTTTTGACATCTTTAGTCATCTTGATAGTTGTCGCGAACGAAAATCTAAAGAGGTGATTAAATTAGAGGCTGCTAAAATTCGCAATCAAATGAATTGTTAAATCGTGATTCGAGATATATATTCGCCGTTTAATAAAACATAAATAATTTTATAGTAGGCAACGAAATCATTGATGTTATGTAAAGAAATTTTTACACAAAATGTAATTGTTGTTTGTATGTAAAAAAAAATACAAAACGGCGTGTAACAGCAATACGTATTTTGAGTAAAAATCGTACAATACTCTTTCGATTCTGTATTAATACACGCACACATGTGCACAAATACACGTACGCACGCATATATCTACAAAAATTTCTGTTTTTTTACAGATTCCTGGTTAAATTTTACTATTGATTATTTTTCAAGTTTATATTTTTTTAATGCGCGAACTGTATTTGTACACATTTAAATTTAATGTTGTCTGCCGTTTAATATAAAAGATAAAAAATCTATAAGTGTAAAATTATATTACACTTGCGTGTGTAAGAATAAAGCGTAAACTTCTGATAAAAAATTTACTTGCGCTCTCCCGCAATGTTATATTATACATCGTGAAATTGAGACAATTATATTCCACGAATAAACTTCCATTTTTGCTTCTATATTTATATATATATATATATATATATATATATATATATATATATATATATATACACAGTTCTTTACAAATAAAGATATTACCTTTACGAAAGTGTTTAAATATGATTAAATTAATGGTCTAATTGTTGATTTATTAGTTTATCCTTTTCTTCGTAAATTTGAATTTTTTTAGAAATATTGTCAAGAATATAATCCATCACAAAATACTTATGCTTTATACAGTTGACACTACGAACACAATGAGTGTTCGTAGTGTCAACTGTATAAAGCATAAGTATTTTACACACTTTTAATCGTGAATCCTTATCCGGTGAACACATTGCAAGACGTTAATAACGATGAGCTCAAAGCGGAACGAACGAAGCGAGCGAGCGATTGTGAGAAGGAAAAAGAAGAAAGGAAAGATCGGAAGAAGGTGATCACACAAGGAGAGTGAGAAAGCGGAGGGAACGAGAAGTAATGGAACGTGGAGGGGGCCGGTTTCCATGTACCTGAGGGCCCGCAAGGGGCCCAGGAGGGAGCGGGACTGCAGGTGCGGTCGGGATGAAGCACGGCCGAGCAATGTTGCGCGGTCCGTCGTGGTGCGGAGAACAGGAGCGTCCGCTTCCTGTCCTTCCTCTTATTCGAGAGTCCGCCGCTCTTCGTGCACCGCGTTTCGCTGCTTCCTAAGCTCCCGTGCTTGGCGTGGGACGACGATCTTTCTTTCCTCAACTCCGAAATCTTTGGTGCAAATTACCGAAACAAGGTGCGTGCTTTCGATTGGAGTTTGTTCACAGGACAGAGATCTCTCTTTCTCTCTTTCGCAACAACGTCAAACATACAGTTTCGACGGTGCACTCCCTATTTCGGACGAAAGGCGTACGGGAATCTTCGAGTTTCTTTTTTCTCTTGACATGCGAGAGGAATAATAAGTGAGATCTTTTGATAAAAATTTTCTACGACTCAATCTCGATGAATGTTGAAATTTACGCTCGTGTAATCTAATAAATAATAAAGATATCGAACAATAAACGTATTTGGCTGATTATATTAAAGCAATTTTTTTTAATAAAATGATACAAACTCAAGATTTTTCCGCGTTTTAATTAATTAAGAATATATTACTGAAAGAGAAAAAGCCATTATTTTTATTTGAATACTCGAAAGATAAAGTCGATCGAAGCCATTTGCTTTTTACATCTGCCTTCGTTTGTAATTATCAATCGGAGGCGTAATTTTAATGTGCTTTTTGTCAATGCCAACGCTACCAAGTGTAACCGTGCCACGGTCACATATCACGCTATGTAACCGCGTGTATGATTTCGTCGTATTTGTATAATATTTGTATAATATTTGTATAATATTCAAAAGAGTCCAGGCATTTAGAATTTTCTTTTTGCTCGACATCGCGTGGGTGAGCCAGTTTAACATATTTTTTCCGAGTCGAAGATACGATATTGAGCGACCTACTTCAAAACTGAGATTTTAAATTGTCGATAGATACGACGGTGTAACGCTTCGTATCAGAGTGCAATCGCGTAAATTTATGATTTAATTCTCTCTGTTTAAATTTTCGAACTATTGAGTTCAAACACGAAACGATTAGAATTGCTTGCTTGTATCGATTGATGTATAACAAAGGGCCCTTTCTATCTCCCTTCTTTGTCTCTAATCTTTTAATCCTTCTTCTTCTAGTCTTTGAAAATAGCTAATTTGACGATTGCGTATCTATCAATATAAATCTAGATAAAGAGCGTGATGCACGAAACTCTTCCCGACTGATAAATCTCGAGCGGCACATTCAGCGATCGGATGTACGATCGTAAATGTAAGTTCGAAATTGCTTCGAATCTGTGAGGCTCCGTGAAATCATCGTCAACATCATCGTCAACAGCCACGATGAAGACTATTGTTCTTTCTTCAACACTTGTACTTATATTTGCATCGATCGCTGGATCGATCAATGACTGCAACGACCCGAATTTTCACTCTCTGGAGACGTCGGAGACATCCAAACTCAGGTGCGGCCCGGCCTTCAAAGGTCTTTGTCACTGTATGAAAACATGCTACGATGGCCATCATCAGTACGTCGTGAATTGTACAAACGCAGGATTCTACGACACTTCCCCGCTGGCGCATCTTCCCAACGACACGCAAGTGCGTCACTAGATAAGATTAAGGAGATGCGATACTCTACATACGTGGCATAACACTATTCATTTCTTTCGACTTATCAGGTGCTCATCTTTACGGGAAACGAACTGCAGGAACTGCCGTGGAATGTGTTCGGCACTCTAGATAGCTTACCGTATCTGAAAGTGATCGACATGTCGAACAACAAGATACGCGAAATTCGCGGCAAGACCTATCATCACGTGCAACACGTGGAGCGTCTCATACTCGACTTCAATGAACTTTCGTTCGATCCCGCGAGAAGTCATCCTAGAGTGTTCTCCAACTTCGTCTCTCTTCTGGAGCTTCATTTGACCGACGCTTTCGAGGACGGTCCACCGAGGAATTTGGCGTCGACGCTTCACGATATTTTCGTCAACAGGTGAACGCGTCACTCTCTCTCTCTCTCTCTCTCAAGTTCTCGCTTGGTTCTGAAAGAAAAATGTAACGTTTTTTTCTAATCTTTACTTTTTTTAGTAATCTCACGAAACTAATAAAACTTCACTTGGAGCAAAACGAAATCTCGGAGTTTCGGGACGCCAACGTGTTCTGCGATCTACCGAATCTCCTGGATCTCCATCTTGGCGATAACGCGCTGAGCGCGCTTCACTTTAATCTCTCATGCCTGCACAATCTGCGCTTCCTGGATCTTCGGCGAAATAAATTCACGAAAGTTCTCGAGCGCGATCTCCATGTCATGGACAATCTCGCTAAACACGATCGGTCTGTGACCGTAGACTTTGCCGGCAATCCTTTCGAGTGTTCCTGCAGGCTCAATCCATTCATCAAATGGATGAAAAAGACGAGAGTGTTCCTTCGAAACAAAGCCAGCTTACAGTGTTATGAAGGTATTCTTGAATATTACATTTTTTTTCGTTTTATATGAAGATTAAAATTTACATTCTTCTGCTATTATTAGGAAATGTAAGTCACGACTTTCACGAAACGAAGAATTGCGCACCGAAATTACTAGCTTCCGCCCGACGAGGAACAACGGTGCTACTTTGCTTCCTCTCGATGGTACTCATCGCCCTGGTATGCGCTCTGGTCTATCTGCAACGGACGAAACTTCAGAAGAAGATCGAGCCGGTGTTCGATTCAGTCAGCAAGAGAGTGAGATATACTTCGATAGCGAACGGTGATGTTCGCGAAGATGTATGAAGGGAAAAATTGTACTTGGAATGAAACATTTTCATTCTGTGAAGAGACAAACTCGCGATCTCGTTTAATTAATTCCGATATTAAAAACAATGAAGTTAAAGATATCGTATTTTTTGCGCGTAAAACTTTGTAAAATGTTTATAGTCATAACGGTATCACGTCATGTTGATACCGTTAAATTAAGCAATTCGTGTGTTATGGTGTTTGACGCATGCGAAAAATCAAATGATGTATTTTCAGATATTACACAAAATCACCGAGCTCCATATTATAAAAAAATTGTAATTAATATCGTAACATCCGACTTAATTTTACAATGTATAACCTGTTTATAAATAAACATAATTTATTACGATTCTCTCTCTCTTTCTCTCTTGAAACTATTTTTTCAGCATTTCATAGCAGATTTTTATATCATGTTTGTAGATAAATTTTTGTTACAAATAACAGATTAGCGCGAATTAAATTCTAGAAATGTGCGTGAGAGTTAAGCTCCCGTAAGTGTAACGCACACGATTTTACCTTCTTATCACTATCGGTCGACACCTTAGTTAAGATTAGATACCGTATAGAATGTAATTTACGCTGCTTTAATGACAACCTGTTCGAAACGACAAAGAGTGCCGTGTTTGAGAGTTCATTACGTTTTTATTATTATATCGTTCTTCACACGAGTTTGCATCGAGTATTGCTTGTTGTCTAGTGCGAACGCAATCAGAAAAATATGTCGCTCGTCGGGCGACTTCGTCTCGACGAAGTTGTCAGTTCATTCCCAGAGCTAGGACCGACGGCTCCAGATGGTGGCTATTCGTGGATCGTTCTCATCGGTGTTGCCTTCATCCAGGTTTGATTTAATCAATGAGTGTACTTTAGTCATCACGAAAGTTGTGTTTCTACTTAAACAATAAATGCCATAATTCTATATTCATTCATATATCAAAAGCAGCTCTTACCATTCTTTGTTATAAAGTTATAAAAGCAATTAGATAAAGTTAATTAATAAAAACAGAAATGTGAGTAATATTCGATGCGATACAGGGTATCAGAGATATATGCTCAATTTATCATCGAAGGATATTGTTATCTCTTCTCTTTGTTCATGCGCACAAGCGACGACGCGTTATAAAATGCTCCAAAAACATTGGGGAATATAATATAACTTTGTTCCAGGTGTGTTTGCGACATAAATTCGCCGGATACGAGGAATGTATATAATCTTTCACAATTGTTACATACGATATGTAAATCCAAGTAATTGCGTAATTGTAATTGTTTCGGTGGGTGAGTACAGATTCTTTGATATTATTGTGCCTATATTTCTTGACACCCTGTATAACACGTCTATTAAATCACGATACATTGAAAACATTAAAATATTTTTATAAAATGCGAATATAATATATAAATACTAGTATATATGAACTAGTTTTACAAGTTGTATATAAAACTTACATATAGATAACCGTGCCTAGCGTCTTGTCGATGTACGGCATAGTGCTGGGTTATTTAACGACGAATAACGCATTATTCCTTTTTGACTTGTGGAGCGCAAAGATCACCTTGACGCCGATATTGTTTGTCGCCTTTTGGAGTCTGGCAGGTACTTATTTGACGTACGGTTCATCAATATCTCGACTCTATTCCCGCTCGCGATCTTTTAGATCCATGGACCAAAACGATCACAGATCTGGCACCAATACCACGACTGGTCGGTTTGATCGGCGTTACCCTCCTTACCACGGGTGTTATAGCTTCCGGATACCTAGCGACCGGTGGAGCGGGCGCGTATCTGGCCAGTTTGAGCGCCGGGGCGGTGATGGGCGTAGGAGCAAGTTTCGTGATCGTAGAGAGCGAGACCATGCTGCGAAAGCACTTCAGGGTCAAGTTGCCGTTGGTGCTGACGCTGAAGAACATAGCCGCTTCCATCGGCTTCACGATCGTGCCGGCACTCACGCACTTCTTACTCGTGGGGATCGGACTGAAGAATGGTATCCTGCTAATGACGATCGTTTTCATTCCCTCCACCTTGGGCACGCTGGCCTTGCGCTCCCCGCCACCGCAGCGAGCATCTCCTTACAGGTGAAGGGACGGGACATTTTTGTCCCATCTCCAGATTTAAATTTGCATGAGAATACGCGTCTTCAATTGCAACAAAGTTGTCTTATGAAATTTCTGGAAATGGAAGAATACATCTCAATTGTACAGTTTTCAGTATTTTTATAATCTGTAACTTTCAATTTTCAATATATTCCATATAACGGACGTCTTGATTAATATTAGATTACTTCTGCCAACCGATGAGGATAATGAATTGGGCATCAGATTATCCCCGGACAGAGAATTAGAATCGGAGCGACAGTCTAACGGCATGGACAACGCCGGCTACGAGAATGACAAACGCGATAAGAATGTCATGCCTTTATTCAGCGAGGTAAACAGTATCTACGCATATCAGGAACCGGACGAAGAAGTCGAGCTCTTCATCAGTCCGACCATGCAATCGGGCGGCAAGTGGAAGCAAGAGTTTTACGTAGTTCGTTACTTCCGATTTTGGGCAGCCGTGATGACGTGGATCGGAGTGAAAGCCGGTTCGCTCTACTTTTGGATTCTGATACCCGCTGTGTTCCTGCAACGAACCACGGGATCGTCCGTTTATCATTCGGACGATTGGGTGACGTTGCTGGTGGTCGCTGGCCTCGGTTCGTTTATACCTAGCATTGCCAGTTATTGGTCCGTCACGACTACCACGCAGTACAGAAGGATATATTTCGGGAGCGCCTGTTGGCTTGGCAGTATTATTATGTTAGGTACATTTCAAGCATAACCCTCCGAAACTGAACTATTTCTTGTGCACATTTTTCTAACGTTATCCAACAGTAAAACCATTTATTCTCTTATATAATATTAATTACTTATTATAGTAACGCACAATTATATTTTTAAACATCATCATTACATAAAAGACATTTTGTTATCATTTTCACCATTGTTTTATTTGTATAGGTTTATCTTATACGAATAACTATTACTGGTTTCTGACATGCTCGCTACTTGGCGGAATTAGCATCAGCAGCTGGCTCACCTGCCAGGACTTAACATTGTGCGATGTGTTAGGAAATCAATTTGCACATCGCTCGCACAAGTTGTTCTCCACCTTAGTCGGACTGGGTGTGCTGACCTTTTGTTTCGTGCATAGTACGTATTTTGTGTAACATCGAAATTTATTTTCTTGTTTTCTTTACAAGAGATTTTACAGAGATATTTCTTAAATTTGATACTCAATCAGCATAAAATACGATAACAATAATAAGAGAAAAGATTCGGACATTGGGGTTTCTCGATTTATCCACTAATTTGGCATAATTACAGGTGAGAACGTGTGCCTTCGCGCGGTTGCATTGCTGCAGTTTCTCGGTGGATGTTACTGGACCGTACCGTCTATTTGGGAAATTGTACAAGCACGGAGACATAGAAATGGTTAATCCCGTTACAAAACATCAAAAGTCATTTTTACATTCTCCTATATAGATATATTTACAAGGCATTGATATCGATGATGAAAGTCACAGTGTGATTGATTCATTATAAATTCCTTTAAATATTAAAAAATACTCTTTCATAGGATAATCTTAAGAATAGACTTGTGCTCCATACAATATAAATTGTGCAATTTGTAAAATAATTATTTAATTCGAGATGAGGAGCGATATAAAAAATTACTTTTAAATTATACAATTGTGACCGTGTTGTAGCAATAAAGTGTCTTTGGAATCTTTATTAAAATATTCCTTTTAATCTCGAATATTAACAATGCACATTACGGTATTATCACACTGATTTTTTTATTTTACATGCTCTTATTGATAAATTTATGCTACCATTTTTTATTTATCCTTCGAATTTTTTTATTTGGTAAGAATATATAGATTCGATCATATTTCTTCGCATTTAAACATCAGTTATATATATAACTTCTATTTATATAAAATAAAACACAATAATACGAAAAGATAGAATTATATATCACAAGATAATTGCAAGATAAAAACGGAATAAAAACGAAATTCCGTGAAATCTTGCACACGCGCTCTATTTTTCTTAAAAAGTAAATGTCTTAAAGTAAATTAAAAAAAATTCGATACTCTTAAAATTTACGTATAATGCACGTTTTCCGAGTATAGTTTAGCTGACAAAAATTACGTTATAACTAAATAGGATAAAATGACAAAAATGAAGAAAACTACGCTTATAATTTCTTTCTCTCGCGTATAATAGAGATATATCATGTATGCAATAATCGCCTAATTTATTGCCCATAATTTCATAATAATTATCTAATTTATTATACTTATAAAATTGCATTCATTCACACTAGATCCATATAACGTTGTTCTAAGACATACTAAAATTATATAATCTGTAGAATTAACAATTATTATAATCCTTTTAAATGCTTGTATAATCATGACATCGATAACTGTACAAATACAAAATTGTTAGCTAAAGCTATTCTTCGGATTATTGCATATTCATTTTTTATTTATGATTTCTTATCATTTTTTCATCATTGCCAGCTGCTTAAACTGCCTAAACTCATATACCCTTTTTGGCAACATATATGCGTATGTATAAAATAAAAAAAGAGATATACAATAATTTAAATAAAACTATACTTAATTTTTTATATACTCACAAAGACACTTATATCCCAAATTATCGCGATAAGTTGGTTCATTACAATTGAAAAAATGTTAGAGATCGATAATATTTCAAGTGAAAACTGAAAATTAAAAATTCAGCATAAAAATTTCATTGTTTTAAATTTTTCTGTCTCATATGAAGCATTATGCAGAGTATCAAAAAGAAGTGGTTAAAGAGTAAATAATAGATTTATTAAATTGAAAAAGATACCTAATCAACACATTAGATAAAAATTCTAATTTCAGAGATACAAATTTTTCTATCAAAATCCAAAATTTTTTAAAAATATATATATTCATTATAATACTGTTGGATTACATGTTTGCAGACACGGGGTGTCTCATTTTAATTAGAACAGTCTTGAAACCTTACAATTTTTGTCTAAAATTTTTTTTTAAATCCTATCATTTTGAGATATTAGCCTGTTCTAATTAAAATGGGACCTTGTGTGTATATGTATATATTTATATATGTAATATCCAACATATTTTTCCTATTTATCCAACAAAATTATTTTAGTAATTACCCATAATAATATTTTTTCTCTTCCTTCATGGAGACTTAAGAAATTTTTCGAAATGAAAATAATACAATGATGAAAATAATACCACAGATTCATTCATAGAAAGGACACAGTCTACGAATAAAAAATGGAGACGAGTTCTATTCCAAACCTGGGCAGTTGAAAGTGAGGAACGTTGCGCAAGAACCTTAGATTTAACTTTCCAGATCCTTTTCTGTCGCCGTGCTAGGTCCAGGATTGTCGCGCGATTTCGGCAAAAAGCCATTGGTTGTTCGACTCGAATGCGGTTTCCAGCTTACTGGCCGTGGTTGATTCAACTCATCGTATTCCGACTCGTTGTTCTGCTTAATCTCATCGTAGACATGTTCGACTTTCTTACCGTCCATTTCATCGATGCTGTGGTATACATTCAAATTTGGATTTCCCATATCAGCATCTCTATTCTTCAGGTCATACTGCAATCCGTACGCTCCTGAGCAATAATACAAAATTATTATACTTGCGTAAAATTTTATTTATCTCGTCGTAAACAAGTATACTATACCTTTACAATCGTCCTCGTCGTCAGTGCAATTACCTAGTTTAGCCTTCTCAGTATTTATATTTTTAAGAAGATTATTTCGGAATTGGAAGTTGTTTAGTAAAGTAGTAGTGCCGTCGTCAAACTTTGAGGAACCTTGATACGCGTACACGGGATTATCGAATTGGTTTCGTTCTACGATAAGAGGGAGACTTTATATTTTTATTGCTCAAAGGGAATTTGACTTCTCAACGATAGAAATCTTTAAACAGGAGGTAAAAAAAATTACCTGGCGGAGATATAGGCTCGGCTGTATATTGCACTTGAGCTATTTCGTTCTTGAGATCAGCTACTCTGCGACGATGATACATCCATCCAGTGAATGAAATGCCAATTACAATTATAGCTGCAAATATGACTGCCACAATGTGTCCGTATCCTCCCTCTTCTTTCTCCTGAATATTGCGGGAGAATAACTGTTCGTCGCAGTTTTCACCTGAAAAAATATTCGTCAAATATTTAACACAGTTTATTGAAACACAAAGAATATTCTTAATATTCTTTTCACATATAGAGTTAATCTCTCAAGTATACTTTATATATACTCAAGTATACTTAATTATATATACTCTCAGGTATACTTTGTACCTGTATATCCATGCCTACAGATGCAGCCTTCGGCCGGATGGCATGTGAAGAAGTCATTTTTACACTCGCAAGGTTCCATGCAATGATCACCATAATATCCTTCGGGGCAAACTAAAATCGGCAAATGATTTTTTTAAATTCAACATATATTCGATTATATTTTGATAATTCAACATATATTCTTCTTTGTCGTTACAATGTCCGCTATAATTGCCTAAACTTACTCTCAGTACACGTAGTTCCGGTCCATCCCGCCGCGCATCGACAATGACCATCGTTGGATCGGCATTTTCCACCATTTTGACATTTGCAATGCTGCGTGCAATTTACACCGTACGTACCCTCCGCGCATGGTGTTTGACAGAACTTGCCTTGCCAGCCAGGTCGGCATTGACATACACCTGAATTGGAAACAAATCGATCAAGATCTCTTACATAAACATACGATTAGATCGACACTTCAAAAGCTCGAGAAGGATCTTCGACTTGCCTGTCACGTGATGACATTCTCCGCCGTTCTTACAGTGACAATAATTAGCACAGTTTAGCCCATAACGATTCGTGGGACACGGATGTTCGCAAGTCAGACCCAGGTATCCCGGACGGCAAACATACTCGCCAGTCACATGATCGCAAGTCATGTTTCCTAGAGAAAAAAAACAATAATGAGTTTATATGATAAGAGGATTTACATTAAAAAATATTATTTTTAAATATTAAATTTATGTTTTCCTGTATTCGCGTTTTTCTATTTTTTAACGCATATTATCTGTGGTCGTAATTATTTTCATTATTCGTTATTCGTCTTAGCCGTCAAATATAGATAAAATAATGATTAATTGAAATACTCACTGAAATACTTGAGGAGATAAAAACTTTGTCGGTGACAAAGAGCAAGAAATAAAGTTTATGACTATCACTTACGTCAGCGTTTGCGCAATTAGCGGTCAAATTATTTCTCTGCTTCGAATTTTGTTATAACTGTACCGCAAAGTACGTAAGATGCAATCCACACTCAAACATGTTATCTACATTTCCGGATGTGTATATAAATGCCATTATATAAATGAATCTTATAATTTTACTTTAATTGACTCATATTCTCTAACTAATATTCCTCCAATTGCGATATATATTACGGCAAGATGATTAAACTTACGTAAAGATATATTTCCATGGAATCGATCGGTCAAGTGTTTCGATTTATATATTATAAAAGGATATTATTAGACTGCGTATACATTTATATATTTACATTCAAAAAATTAACATGTTAAATGTAATTTACTACAAAAATGCGATTACACAAACTATTTGTTTTAAGCACAATTAATTGTTTAAAGACGCAATCATGCAATTTAATCTGTTATATATAGTTAAGTTATTTGAACGAATTGTCACACATACACATGCAAGAGATATGAAATCTATGAAACGTGAAAATCCCTACCGTTCATCTTTTCCGGACATTTCTCTTTGCATCCCATTCCGTACCATCCTTCTTTGCAGGGTTGCGAGCAATCGGGACCTTCCCAGCCCCTGGCGCAGACGCAACTTCCGGTCGTGGGATCACACGAACTATTATTCATGCATTCGCAACGCGAGTGACAATCTTCGCCGTAAAGACCTTCCGGGCATTTTGTTTCGCATCGAATCCCTGTTTTAATGTTAAAGCAAAATCTGTCTCGAGATTTCTTCGCTTACTGCATAAAACAGCGCATTTATCTTTATCATTTATTTAGCATTTATCATTTATTTACTTTATATACTATTTTTTTCTGAATTAAGATAATGGACGCAATGTAGCTATATTTGCGTCACAAAACAATCTTTTCTGTTTATATTGTAATTGCTTTATAATTGCTTTTAAATAATTTTTTTATTCGATAACGACAAATGATTATCACGTCTCGATGATTGTATATACATAATTTTCATGTAAATATCGGACGCAACAAACCTTGCCATTCTGCCTTGCATCTGCAACGCCCGGTGGTGGAGTCACAGTAAACGGTGTTTTCCTCAACACAGTCGCAAATTTGATCGCATCCTTTCCCGAAGAAGCCCTTTTTACAACGATCCTGGCACAGCGTGCCAGTGAAACCAGCCGCACACGTGCACGTGCCTGCGTGTGTATAGATAAGATAACGCGTGTTCTTGGTGCAAGTGCAGGGAAAAGGAGTTAAGAATCTATATCTCACGCTTATGCGCACAATTGTCTGTACATTTCTTTAAAACGATGTGAAACTTTATCGCGTTAATAATAACGAACGGAAAAAAAATCGTCACCCAAGCACCTTACCATTTTGCGGATTGCAGGCTGCATTGTTAAAGCAGTTGCATTTGCTCTCGCAGTCCTTGCCGTAAGACTTGTCGTCGCATGGACGATCGCACAGTACACCAACCCATCCTGGCAAAATGTCATAGATACGTGTAATTTGCTTCTCGTACTTACCGATGTCGAATAATATCTTCTTCATCGGAAATATATTGAGAGACTTAATAAAAATGTTTCTATAATAGATACGACTATAAATTCTACAGACGAGCTCTCTACGACGAGACGGAAAACATATGAAGAATATCAAACAAAATGGATCGTTTGATACATGCAAAATATTATGCAGAATAGTTAAGAGATAACATTGATAAGACTTTCGAATAAAACGATAACAATAATAAATCTTTCTTTTCTCTAACAAGTCTTCCAAATGAAATTTTATAATTACATCAACTTGGATTACAGCCATAAAATTACGCTTACCGGCAGTACAGTTGCAGCGTCCATTCTCGGGAGAACAAGTGGCTCCGTTTTTGCAGGCACACTTCTGCGCGCAATCCTCGCCGAAGGTATTTTCGGGGCACAATTCACTGCAATCCTTGCCGCGATAACCGGCCGCGCAGATACAAGAGCCGTCGATTGGTGAACATTGAGCGTTGTTCTTGCAGTCGCAACGATTCTGGCAACCTTTGCCATACGTGTAGAAGGGACACGGCCTCGCGCAGGTCTCGCCATCCCATCCCACTTTGCAGGAACATTGCCCGGTCCACGCATGGCACAATTCCGTATGATCATCCTCGCATTCGCAAATCTTACAATTTGATTCAGTTTAATAAAATATCGAGGTGTCGTGAAAATTTTAAATGGAATATTGTTACGAGAAACAGAGCCTCACCTTTGCGCAATTGGGTCCGTAGAAACCATCGTCGCAAGCACGTTGGCCGCATGTTTTACCTATCCAGCCCGGATTGCATACGCAGGTCCCGTTACTAGGAATGCAGATGGCATTGTTTTCGCAAGTGCAATTATTTGCGCAATTTAGTCCGAACGTACCCGCGGGACAGATCTTTAGACACTGTTTTCCGCGTATCAAGAAAAAAAGAGAAATAATATTAACCACGCAATTTAACATCGCATTACGATACAATTAATCGAATATTTACTTTGTCATCGTAAAAGCCCGGTTTGCACTGGCACTCTCCCGTCACGTGATGGCAACTAGCATCGTTATAACAGTCGCAGGTTTGAGAACAGTTCTTGCCCCAGAAACCCTCCGGGCATCGATTCGCGCAGACCGAACCCTGCATAACAGACATTACGTTAAATAATTTTACACGGTATATTTCATATCGAAAATTGTACAAAATCTCTGATTACCGTCCAGCCAGGGGTACAATAGCATTCGCCGGTCAATGGACTGCAGGACCCGCCATTTTGACAACGACATTCCGACTTGCATTCTTCGCCGTGTTTACCCAATGGACATAAATCATCGCACCTGCGCAATACAATAGTCATTAGCGATCATCATTAGTGATCAAACTATGTATCATTTAAAAATACTTATTAGTCAATAAAAAAATATTTTTCTCTTTTATCTAAATTATTTCAATTTTTCTTAATTCTTTTTTAATTTAAAATGAAGAATCTTTTTAAGACCATAAAATGTTCGTAATCATATCTTTCTGAGAAAAAAAGACCGAATAGATATGATTATTTGAGTGACAGTAGATAAGATAAATTATAATCATTGATAGTATTGTATATTATATTGTCGGAAACAAGGATCGAGAAAAAATACTTACAACGGTCCGGTGTAACCGGAGGCACAGTGACATTCGCCAGAAATGTGATGGCACCTACCGCCGTTTCTACAACGGCATTCCTCGGCACAATCCTGCCCATATCGGTTGGGAGGACACTTTTGATCGCAGTACACGCCGGTCCAACCTCTCGTGCATATGCACTTGCCATCGAACGGATCACACGTGGCCCCGTTCTGGCACTTGCAATTTATCTCGCAATCTCTGCCCCATTTACCCAACGGGCATTCTGTTCATACGGGAAAGTTAAAAATAAATCACCTCGTGTTTACACCGCTCGAACCAATTTTTCAGCCTCGTTGGCGTACAAAATTGCACGTTAGTTATTCTCTCTTTGGCAGTCTTTTAAAATAATTCTTAAACATGAATGTTTCGATTTTTAGGAAGAGGCAGAATCGATATAAAAATAACTAATATTGTCTTTCTCAGTCATAATAAAAGTATATTTTTAGACTATTAAAAATATATAAGACTCGAAATATAAAAATAAACAAATCAGTTTTAATGAAATATAAAAATAAACAAATCAGTTTTAATGGCAATACGAGTCAATAACTTTTATAGATTTTTATATTTCATTAAAACTGATTTTTTTATTTTTATATTTCGAGTCTTAATGGCAATACGAGTCATTGACTCGTATTGCCATTATGACTCGTATTGCCATACGAGCAATGGCAATACAAGTCACTGACTCGTAATTAAGACTCGAAATATAAAAATAAACAAATCAGTTTTAATGGCAATACGAGTCAATGACTTTTATAGATTTTTATATTTTATTAAAACTGATTTGTTTATTTTTATATTTTATTAAAACTGATTTGTTTATTTTTATATTTCGAATCTTAATGGCAATACGAGTCATTGACTCGTATTGCCATTAAAATTGATTTGTATATTTTCAGATATTTTCCAAAGTGTGTGTCCTGGATGTTTAAATTTTGTTTTCTTGCATAAAATATCATAAAACACAAACTTGATAAAGATGTAAAATTATCTCTATACATATTATACTCTCCTTGCTAGAATTTATTATTATATTATCCTTACTATTTATTCGAGTACATTGAATCGTGAACCCGACATATATGCGGAGAAATGTATAGAAAGCGCGCGTTATTATTATCGAACAAAGGTTGTACTTACTGAAGTCGCACAACGGCCCGCCATATCCCGATTCACACTTGCAGATATCGGGGGCGATACAAGTACCGTGGCGGCAATCGTCGGAACAGACAGGAATGCAACGGTTGCCGTTTGTGGTTTGCGTGTAGCCTTTGCAACATTCTTCTACGGGTTTTTGTTTCACCAGTTCCTATAAGAAACACACGTAATACATATTACAAGCGACAATTTGTTTTCTCCGATCCACATTTATTGTAAAAACATTAGCGAAACAATCAAATCTCTCGCTCCCTCTCTTTCTTTCTCCCAATCAGATCTCGTTAAAATTTAGAAAGTAAATTTCTTGGAAAATAGCACACCTGTTCCTTGTAAACCGTCCTGTAGACAACTTTATATTTGGAGCATCTCGGTGGGAAACTGAAGCACCACGTGTTCTCTCGCACGGTATAAGGTTTCTGCTCGGATACTTTCACCGTTATCGTGTATCTAAAAAGATAATTGAACAGAATTCCATAGATTTTCCTAATAGAAGCGAAAACTCGAGCGTGTCGAGCGAATATTCGGTACGGTCGCACCGAACGCGCGTATCCCATTCCTACTCCCATTCCGTGAATTAATTAATTAATTATTCAAGATGGAATACGATACTTACGTTTCTTGCCGGGTGCATATGTTCGGTCCTTCGAGAGCCGCCGCTGTTCCCAAGATAATCACGGTGACAATCGCGGTCAGCCGACAGACCGTGGACCTCGTTCCAGCTGATCGATACATGACTTTGAACTTGGCGATCAAAATTCTGACCTTATCGTCGTTTCGATCGCATTATCGCTCTTCCTCGCGTTCGTTCGCAAACGTTCGCTCTGGAAAAAAAAACCCGTTGTTGACCCGACCTGAAAGTAAAATGTGTCGTGTTACAACGCGCTGGCATGTCGCAACAACGCGATTTACTTTGCGAATTATTACGCGAACGATCGCAAAACGCACGAACGTTGCATACCTAACCAGACACGAAAGGAGGCAATTATGCGTTTTATCGAGCTTTACAATGCGGTCTCTATCGCGCTCTCTTCGCAGGAACGCTCGTCTACTCGACTTTATACTTCGCACTCTGCTTTTAATGAATCACGATCGATACTGACGAGGCTGGTATCATACGAGTGTCCAGTTGCAAATCTTGATTTAACATAAACAAACTCACGGATTCGAATTGCGATAATTGGAACGCTATCGTATTCTATGCTATATGTAATGAGAAGCAACGTTACTCCGATAAGACTCGATGGTTTTATCAATTAGCGCGGAAAATATCCATCGTATTTTCTTTTTGCGCGACATGGTAAAATTGCGGGTAAATTATCGCGAAGGATTTTCTATCGAAGGGTTGTCGAGAAAGCGCCATAATTTTATCGAACGAGGACGCGTGTCGATATCGCAACGAGTTGCGAGAAATCTTTCGTTCGAAATATCGATGAGCACTGCTGGTCGACGGACATCGGGATTCCGCGAGGTTTTACCGGGCGAAATTTCAATCGCGCGTTCACGCGACCGGAAATGAGTGCTCTTGCGAGCGTGTAAAATACATGAATCAGAGGCTGCGCACGTGTTGAACATACGGTTTGCTTTACGTTTTTATCATGACGTGACTCGTGCTATGATTCACATTGCAAATCAACCGACTCGCTTCAACGGCGACCGAAAATGCTATAAGGTTAATCGGTAATCTTCTAACAATAAGATCAATTCGATCGCCCTTATTAAGCGGTCAATCGTATAAAAATCATATGAATAAAAGAGCCATACATGAAATAAAAAAACTTTTCTTTATCACTATGCGTGTATACATCGTGTTTAAAATTATGTATACATATTATCAAAGTTGTCACACCTTTTATCTTCATCAAGGCATTAAACATGCGACAAAATTTAAAGAATAATCTGTAAATCAATACTGGAAAAATTTTTATCATCGGATATAACATTTTGAGGATAAAGTATTATTATATTCTGCGATAATTATTTCGTACTATCGGATTTTTATTCCGATAATTCAAACAAAATTTATTTATCATTTTATTTACTTATAATCAAATATACTCGACAAAAGGAAGATTGTGCGCTGTAGCTTTTCTGAAACATCCGGAAAAACGTGGTTTCTCTCGGAATGTGAAGAAATGCAGCTCGACACAATTTGTTCCTTTGTGCGTAAAAACTCTGGGCATCGGTATAATTATCGTCACGACGGGCGAACAAAACACGTGTACGCTCATTCAAGTCTTTACATAACTGTACCTATCACCGACAGTTACGAGTTCGTGAGTGAGACCGGCGAGAAAAGAGGTGAACGTAACGCGATTGTTCCGAGTCAAACGAGACATGTGAGAAGAGTGTGTGCGAGCTACGCGTGCACGCACGTATGTGAATTCACGAAATTCATTTAATGACGTAAGTCATGCATTAGCGAACGACTAGTGTTAGACACGAGCGGATCGCACGAGTCTAAAACGGTATCCGATGATGAAACGCGCGCATACGTACATGCTTTTATTTACGCCTGTTGTTTGTCTTTTTTCAAATAAAAAAAAATTTTTCATTATGCACACAAATGTAAATCTTTTCGTTAATATTCTAAAACGATGAGGTCGATGATGTTTCGAAGATAAAAATGTTTTATAGGAAAGAAAGTTTTCGATAAAAATTTTCGTGTGTTTGTAGCTTGAAATATTCCCGGGTTTCGTCATTCGACACAATCGAACGGAAATAAGCGACCGACCCGCCGTTTTCGTACAGCCGAATTCCAACAGGAGCATGTGCGTGTTTCGTCTACCGCGATCGAAGGGGGACTCGTCCCTTCGACTTGACGCGACCCCGTACGAGGGGAGAATTAATTCGTTTACGTGGAAAAAAAGAGTTCAGGGACTTTGCGGCGTAGGTGCGAGCCTGTGTGCGGACACGAGTCACAGGATGTGGGGCGAGTTTGCGATAAAATGATGCATCTCGAACTTTATCCGCGGGATGTATGTGTGCATCGTTCTCTCTCGGGATCTCGGTTGTACGCGGACAAAGGGACGACGATTATGGGAGTCGACTTACGAGGCCGCGACGAGAATCATTCGATAAAGGGCGATAAGCAACGAGAAAAACATCTACGAAAGAAGAGCCATATTAGTCGTATAAATCGTATCAAGAAGAAAAAATAGAATAACAAACATATTCGGTTACAGAATCGTCTTGATGCAAATAATCTCAAGGAGATGAAATTGTATTTGTCCCGAGCTATAATACAACAGCTTTAAGATAAACTTTTAAATAACACGAGTATTTTTATTCCTAAATTAGATTGTAAAAAATAATAAATAAAAAAAACTTGATTTTTATTTAGACAACTGTCTGTCATGAGTTGAAGGAATATTTCGACTCTTTTCCCCTTCAAAAGTTTATTGAACTGGTTTAGAGAACTGGCAGAAAATATCGCGACCGACTAATTTATCCTTACGTTATTTAACCGCACCTTATAACACGTATCTACTATCGTTATCTCTAACGTTTATCTCTGGCGCGATTATATGATTGATGCGAAAAAATCCAACGACTGATGATCACGAAGCGATACTGGTACGCGTTCACACGAGGTGTAATTAACGTTAAATGCAATCCCATCTGACACAAATCTGTCTTGTGCATATGTTTAATGGGTGAGATATATGCGAGATCGCGAAATCGCTGTACATTTCACGACGTTAGCGATGGACCATCGGTGATATGCGACAGATTAAATAAATGATATATGGACATAGATGTACGTGTGCATTTCGCTATTCATTATCGTCATTTATGGCTCGTTGCGTACGTGAGAACGCACAAAGAGGAATGATACGCACGAATCGGAGTTTAGAGAGCGGGAAACTCGAATCGTCACGGCTCCGTAGCCGCCTCGTAGAATAAGTTCAAATCGAAAAGGAAGTCGTGAAAAATAAAAATTCCGCCCGTTAATTCGTATTTGGAAAAGAATTTGGCTGCGGCACACTTTCCATCGTTACGTTAATAAGGCGAAAACAAAATTATGTAATGCACTTGTAACGCGTTAGCTCGATCCCAGGCTAGAGAATATAACGAAAGACCGCTAAACTGCATAAGCCACTTTCGGAATTAATAGCGATACGCTAGGGCATCTTGCGTAGTTTCTCATTATCGAACAATTAGCTGCATACGTACACAAGTCACTTCTGAGAAGTATGACAAAAGATCGACGCGTGAAACAAAACTTTCTTTCATCATAGATGACATTTGTACACATTGTGTTTGTTTATACGTTTCTAACATCGTAAATATACGTTTCACCAAAGTTATCATCTTACACCTCGATCAAGTCATTAAATACGAGTGAGATTAAATTTGATGCTGTTTAAAAGGTCCGAAAGTCGATACTGGCAAAATTTATCATTCGATAGCGTTGTGCATCGAATCGCGATAAGTACCTTAAGATGCAATAACACGCGACGATGAGCCTTTTATTTCTTTCTTTAGTCGGTAAAAAAAAGTCAATGTTTTAGATTTACATAAATACATTCGTAAAAATGAATGTATTAACGCATTTCGCTCGAAATGCGACAGAGGAATTTGGCGAAAAAAATTCTGAAAAAATTGCGTAGCAACCCTCCGTGGTTGAATGAATTGCTTTTCTTACATAATAGCCGAGTATCGCAACAGTGAAAGTCATCGCAACCGACAAAATAACGCTGTCACAAACAGGTGCAAATCATAATCTACAAACTTAAATTCGAAAAAAATTATATACATATACATATATTTTTATATTTTTATATGCGCGCAAAGACAGAGTCCGCGTTGAAATGAACAAACTTCCAAAGATTAATTTTTTTTTTAAAAGACCTACTTTTCCACGTACAATATCAAAGTGCTGATAATAATAATAAAGAATGGGTAATCAACATGTACAGCATGTTTGTTAATTAGAACGCAAATGCATGCACGAAATAGGTGGATTAATTATGGATGATTCGATTATCGAAACGTTTCATCAAAGCTCTTTTCGCAACGCGTAATCTGTGGGTATAAACCGTGTAAGGAAAATGGTCGTATATCGCATTTATACCAAATGTTTCTAAGCAGCGATTTGCAAGAGCTACCACGAAAGCTGACTGAATCGTCACGAATTATTATTAGAAAAGAGGAGCCACGTGATTCTGTTTTCGCGTATCGATCGATTTGACTCTTTCCGATGGTTCGCGATATCCCTTCGAACGACTTAAAGTGTACAAAGTTTAAATTTCGTAATGAAGCACTTTACATTACATCGTCCGTGAACTTTGACTTAAGAAAACTCTGGACAAATGAACGTCACCTCTCGAGTCAGACGAATAAAAACTCTACACTAATTGTGGCGTTGAGGTGAGAATACGAGTGTCAAAGTACGATGTACTCGTACGTGCATGCGTAAGATGGTCTAAAATGTCTAAATGAATACGCAGAAGGTGTTCTGCGAAATTGACGCTTCGCGACTTGCGACTATACTTGGAAACCGTGACAATCGTACGTTTTACGTGAACATAGCCTTGACGCGCACTTGCCGACACTCGTATCATACTCGGAAAATCCGAGTCACCGTCATATTGTAACATGCGTGGGTACTTTAATCACTCGATGCATAATACACGACGGCCGGAATCGTTTCGAGTCGTCTCGATCGGCCGGAAGTTCTATTTGTGTCGGCAGAGAAAATCGAGTCGCGTGCGTGAAAAAGTTGTTGAAAAATTTCGCGAATTCACGCGAGCGACGTTTCAGCGCGTAAATTTTCCGTCTGATCAAAGATCACCATTATTGTGGTAATTAAACACTAAACAATGTTTCCGGGCTTCCAGTAATAATCGCGTGAATCATCATAACCGCGATCTAGCTGTATCACCGTGTATCCTCGCGTATCCAACGTCAAGTATTTTTCTCGCACACACAATAGGGCGAATTTTTTTAAGAGTAAAAGTACTCCACGTTTCTTTTCTTTATCTCTCGCAAAGATCTCTCTGTAAAGATATTTATATATATATATATATATATATATATATATATATATATATGTGGTAACAGTATTTATACATCTCATTTTTTTCGCGTACCATTCATGTTCGTGAGAAGGTCTGCATTCATTCTACTTGGTTTGTAGCCATGCGGGTAGAATAGCTCCGTTCTCTGTCCACAACTTCCTTTCCCCTCGCGCTCTCACGGCCTTCTCTTTCTCTTTCTCTCTCTCTCTCTCTCTCTCTCTCTCTGTCCCTATTTCCCTCTCTTCTTCCCTTAATAACGTAGCGCAGCACTTTATGACGACCGCAGAGCAACACGATCTTTCCCGTGTTCTCGTTGTGTGCGCACATTCATGGAAGGATTGTCAGCATCATGGAGATACCTTGAGATACCTTCGATTTTCGCGACAGAGTTGAATAAATGAGATGTGCATTGACGATGGAACGCTCCTTTGTCTTCGACTTGTCATTGTTCCGCGCTACCTTCGTGCGACATTGACGCACAACTTTAATTCATACAACAATAACGGCGTCAGTCAAAAGGTTATCGATGGTTGAATCATCGTTGAAAGTTACGTTAACGCAAAGTCTACGGTTAGAAAAGAAAGAGAGAGAGAGAGAAAAAAAATTCGAATAAACAGATAAATTTCGTTTACACAGCAAAAAATAATATAAATGATTCATCGGCTCGGTATGTACGATACGGAAACAGATGATTAACGACCCATGTACCAAGATGGGACCACATTTGGGCCATATTATCATACAAACATCCCTTCTGTACGCATCATTCAAAGCCTGTAAAAAGTCACTCATAATACCAATAAAAATGTTAATATTGGAGGAAAAAGTTTGGCCACACACAAACTAGATATTTTTACGTAATAAGGACGGAATTGCAACATCCTGCGTTTTGCACGAGCACATGTATTATATTAATATCTATGTTCGGCTTACACGTGATCGTCGTGAGTTTCCTTCCCGGAAAAAAAAATAAAAACATCTGCAATTCGCGGCTGGCTATTGTTGCGACAGCTGATCCCATCAAAAAGATAGACTTGATAACATAATGCTGCTGCATTTTTTTCATATTATTTATCTTTCCTTAACAACACACATGTCCAAAAAATGTCCATAGAATATCTAGAAAACAGCCAAAGGATATTTTCTGTCCTCTGGATATCCTCTTGATAATCTTTGGACATCTTTTGTGTGTTGTTAGGATTCAAATTCATAATAAAGAGGAAGAATCTCGCGAATGTCCGAAAAAGATTTCGCGCGTACACGACGCGGATAAAAATAGACGTGATTACTGATGCGGTATCAAAAATAGTCTGCGCGCGCCGAGACTCGCTACAAGGAATCTGTACGTGTATTTTGCAACGCGCGTACGTACGGTACGAAGGCCCAGCGAGATCTGCGCGACTCATCAGGTAAGGATCGAGCAAAGCGCACCGACATTGGCGAACTTGGCGAGAGAAGGATCGAGAGAAAACCGGTCGAGGAGCAGCTAAGCGACCGAATTTTTCAAGTCGACGATACTCCGGAGAGTAAAGTACGCGCTTCTCCGTCACGGAATAATCAGCGTACGAGAGTGTGCATACCGGAGCCAAGGACTTTGTTGTTTGAGAGTATATATTATACAGTGTAATTCGAGTATAATCTTAAATTATTGATAATTGTCACGTGATACTATGCCTGAAACGGATGGAAAATATTTATAGATATAAAATATAAAATTAGAAATATGTTATAAAGTTTCGATAAAAATAAATACGGTCAATTGAAAGATTAAATCGATTAGATTGAGAGATTAGATCTGATATTATGCGCGGGCATCTCGATTCGTCCATTAATCGCTGACAAAATTAACGAGTCGGCTATAAATATATTTTTCAAGCTATTAATTTATATATGCGTCATTAATTACGCACGCGAATGCATTTTCCCCGATTCGTTAAACTGTATACGGTTGTTGCACATTCATCGTTATGTCTACACGGTCGAAATGAGCGAAATAAAAGTTGGACCGCCAGCTGTGTAAAGTTTCTCGTTGAACGAACTGGCAAACATTTATGTATATAGATATAAAATAGATGTAGTCTAGTAATTAAACTGTCGTGAAACACTTAAAGCAACGCTTTCTCGTCATCGTGGCAATTAACACCGATTAAAGCTCGAACAATCAGAGTGAAGCGTAGCGAAAGACGTGCATGAGAATTCACCGCACTGCACGTCTTATCTATGTGTTACAGTAATGTAAAGTTTTGAGTAATTTATTCTAATGACTTTCAATCGCCGGTAGATCGAGCAACAGAGAAGTGCGCATCTTGCATAATGAAAATCTTGTTTTTCCTCTACTTCTTCGCGTATCTCTCTCACTTTTACGTTGCCAGTACGTTCTATTTATACATTGTGACTTTTCAAAAATAAGCTAAATAAATAAATATCTAACCTGATCGCCGATTGCTGCGTGGAACTCTTTGGATTCAACGAAGTCTGTCTACTGGTCAATTACGGTGAACGCAGAAGAAACGTGGCTCTTCCACTGAGAACAGATCGGCGCACGTTGTTTTTATTGCTCCAACATTGCGGCAAAGTTGCGCGCAATAAATTGCAATCGCAAGGGGATCGCGCACATTGAAAATAAAAATCAATTTTACTCACTTTCTCATTATAATGCGCCGCGTGCGAGATATGCGACAGAAATTACACAACGGAGATAACGTAATAAGAGTTGCGCGTAAAAGAAATGTAAACACGCCACGGCGTCTTTCATTCAACTGAAGTAAACCGAAGACGTTCGACTAACATCCGGCCAGTCTCCCCTCTCGCTCTCGGCTGTTAATATGTTCCCCCTCCCTCCTCTCCCTCGCTCGAGCACCCCACTCTTTCCAGAGAATAAAACCAGAGAGCGCGCATGCGCATAATTTTGCTGTATTATATTACATCTTCGCAATCAAAACATCTTTTTTTTTTATAAATTTCCAATGAATCGACACGCTATAATCAATACGTATACCGCTCCCGAAATACTGTACAAAACATATTTATTTAATAATTTAGAGACGCGCACATATACACAGTGTACAATGTACAAGCTCTAGTATTCTTGCGATGCCGCTACTCGGCAAACTGTGCGATTTTCTCTAATATTTATATACAATCACATATTTTTTTTCAACCTTTAGAAATCGGACGAGATTTTTGACAGCCTTCCCAGACTTTGAATTTTCAAACGTATGCCAAAGCGATATTCTAGAAATCTAAAGAAACTGAGACCAATCTTAGCTAATTGAATTGAGCTGAAAAATCTCGATTTCTCGATTTCTAAAGGTTAATACAATGTCGGATGAAACAACATTATTTACTACAAGCGATGAACGTCACGCATTCCGCTCAACACAATGTTATCAATGACGAATTTCTAAAAAATATATTGCCATCGAATATTACTTCTTTCTCTCTTTTTTTCTTTCAATCGCAAATCGGTGTTGAGAGAAACTCGAGACGCAATTAGAATATGTACGGCGCATAAACATACAAAGTTAAAAAAGTCCGAATATTCAGACCCGATTTTTTCTTTTACCTAGTACAAAGCTTGCGCAACATGTTATGTGTTCAAATTGTCAAAAATATTCTATATGCACAAATGGATATGCGTACATAGAAAACAAATGTTTTCATAAAAGGATCTGAGGATCTGTGGTTTTATTTCGTCGTAAAATGCAAAAAGTTTTTTTTGCATTTTAGGAGAAAAGATTGCGGGCATGTTCGCCGAAACTGAAGGCCCAGAATCCAATACGCAATACGGTGGTAGTTAAATATTTACAAAAAGACTTTTGTGCGTATCACCGCATATCAGAAATACGGATTCTCTTTTCTCTTAAGATGTCACAATGTTCCCTTTATGTGCCACACTTAAACATGGTCAAACATCGTGTTAAGAATTTTGCGCTCTAAGAATAAATGGAGATTTTAAGCTACAAGTAATTCGTAAATTGGTACAATAAAGATTGACGATACGATAAAAACAATCTTCGATTATTAATAATAGCATTCATATTTCTCAATGTGCCGATATTTATAACGGAATGCCACTATTGATATCAAATAATATATCTCAAAATCGATATATCATTTTGCTGCGCACAATCTAAATTGTCTGATTAAAACTCGGCACAAATGCTTGGCAGATAAATGTAGAAATAAATATTACGATAGTTAAGATGGAAATATAACTAGAAAATTGTACAAGTGTAGGAGCAGATTTTGCGTCATCCTTTTTTTGTATGTTTTGAATGTAAAAAAACTAATCTTGCATATCTATGTGCGATCTGTATTGTAACCTCAAAGGTGGGTCCCGGAACCTCCATCTTGTCACATAAACAAACTTCAATGTATGATCCTTACCTAATAACTCGTTATTGCACAAAATATCGATCTATCAAATACAAAATACAGACAAATTAATGAAAATAATAATAATGCATTCTCCTACAATATCTATCAAATATACAATAATACTTACATCTCTATATTTTTCCATACCGCTCAAAACCTTTTTAGCGATAAACTTTTTCATATGTGTGATTGTAGCCTGGGCTGAACATCTGATAAATCTTCTTTTTAGGGTCTTTAAACTAGCATTCATACATTCCAAACATACGTTAACCTAAAATTTTGACAAATTAATACAAGTCTTAATCGAATATTCTATTTACGTAAACATGTATATCAATGTTGTAAAAACCTGTTCATCGGTACGATGATAATCCGATTCTGCATGCGCATCCGCATTAGCCCTGTCTTCTTCGACTTCGCCAGCATTGGGTAATATATCTTTGGGACAAGCTAAACCTCTGGCTCTGTAAAATTCTCTTTCCCTTTTGATTTCATCTAAAAAAGAAAGATTTTCTATTAATATCTAGAAAGAAATATACTTCTTACATATGGACGAGTTGAAATTTAAAATAAGATTCGTACTTTCTTGAAGATCGGGAACTAATTTATAGACGATATCTTGCATAGTTCTGTCAAAGCTGATGTACTGAAGTGGATGTGACTGATGTATGACAATTTGACAAGTCGGACAGGTATGTTTCTCTTCTAGATGCTTTACCAAACAACTCTTGCAGAATGTATGTAAACATTCTGTGACAGTGGTAGCATCTATCAAATACCCACGGCATATTTTGCATGTTATGTGACTGTTTAAGGTTTTTAGTTTTATCCTTCTCTCCATGGCACCGATAATCACCATTTAATAGAGAGAGATTTTATAATCTAAAACAATAATTTTGCCAATAAGACCGCATCACAGACATCGACAAGAATGTCAAAGATTATCAAAACGAATGAGAGTAAAGGGAGAAAAATCGAAATGATTATTAATTTATTGCTGCTCCCAATTCATTTCGAGAGGCGTGCGGATATGATTCAGCGTACTAAGCGATCAGAAAGTGGGTTATTGGATTCTAACCTCAATCTCGAGCGTGATTACACAGTGGTCTTGCGCTCCAGCTTATTTGTCACAAAGTTTCGCGTGGAAGATGTTCCGCGTATCCCGTAGCATCTCGATTTTCAGATAAATCACTTGTGGAAATAAAAATTTCACTAAAAATTTGGTTTAAAAACAACTTAGTGTACAAACGTGACTTATATACGACAACAAAACGGACTGAAATGACTGAAACTGACAGAAACTGACTGATCGCGGCGCTGTCCGACAAGAACGTGAATCCGGTGAATCAGTGGATCTCCATATAGATAGACGCGCATGCGCAGCTCTATATGAGTAGATGCGCATGCGCGGCTTTATGCGCTCTCATCAAAATGTTGAATAAAAGGAGTGCTGTACGACTCCCTAAACTGCTTTCAAAGGTATAAGATGTAAAAGTTAATAGATGAAAAAATTAATAGTTTTCTATTTAGATAACAAATTATAGATTCTATACTTATTTGTGGTTCTTCTATTATTATATAGTCCTATATTTTTTATCGGGATTATATAAATAACTTGTTATAAGCTATTTTTTTTCTTCATTATTTCAAGTCATTTAAATATCTTTAAATAGATAGGATTTTAGTCTCATCTATATGTAAATGCAGAAATAAATTTGATATTTTGAAAAACACTGAATTTTTTAAAAAACATAAATTATATGAATTTTTTACTAGAGAAATTTGGAAAGCGCAATATTATTTTATTGGTTACAAATTTATCGATTTATTGGAAACAAAAGTCATATTTATGTGGATCTCCTTTGTACGACCTATACACATACATATACTCTACGTAAATGCTAATTCTACTTTTAGATACTGGATAACAGATAATGTTTATTAAATAAACGCTAAATAAACGATATATACAATCCGCGAATTAAAACTACTTTTTGTTTTTATTGCATAAATTCGTTATTGTCACTTTTTACAAAAAAGATCACTCTTAAGAGATGTATCTTAAAATTATGTAAAAAAAGATCCTATGAAGATATATATATATGTATGTATATATATATATATATATTTATATCATACATATGCTTAAAGATATACGAAAAATAAATTATCTATTGCTAAGCACCTTTCCTATTTATACACATTATCGCCATATCGTATCGATACCGACAAGCGATCGATACGACTCTAAGGCTTACAACAATACTTTGGATTCTTTTCCCGAAACGATGTATTTTTTCGATATAAAATTTATATTGCTTGTTTCCTTTCAGATTTCGCCTTTTATGTGCACGTCTTTAGACTGATTATTTTTTTACAAAATTGTCACAAAACACGTTGCTCGCGATATAAAATCCACGATCATTATCCATTAAAACTAGTCATGTAAAAACACTAAAGATCTAACAACTACTATGATACAGAAAAATACAGTATCCACAGTTGACTAGTTACAAAAAACACAACATCATGCCCACGTTTGATATCCATTTTGTGGATTTTTGTAATATAGACTTTTAATATGATATCGTATATGGGACACATATATTATATAGTCCTGTCACGATAAATTATCTCTTGCCTTTTGTATGTCCGACAATCTTGTAAGGCACTGATTCACATGGCACAATAATATCTATAAATCTATAGATATAAATATAGGATCTATAGAATAGATATAGGCGATTTTTATACAAATATAAATTTGTTTTGCATTGACGCTTAAAAGATAGTGTCCTTTTAGTTTCCGCTCTCGATATTGTTTCTTTTTAATCACATTTATCGATCTCCATAAAAAAATAGTAAATACACGATGTCCAATCTCATGTATATGTATATTGACACTGCTGATGTACGCTATCGTTTCGCACTTTCCTTTAACTCTGCGTACACGTACACAGATCAATACTGATTTATATTATTTGGCGTATTCACTTACTTCAGTCGATAATCCTTCACATATAATAATCTTTCATGTTGACACTCTTCTCGTCTCTTTATTTCCATTGTCACATTCATTTGAATTACTCGCTGCTACTTTATTCGGTTACATTCGCGAATCGTTTAGATTACTTCCTGTCTAAGTAAACAATGTCTAAACGAGTAGACAGTCTTTGTAGTAAATATACGATTCACAACAGATATGGAAATTTTTCTTCACCATCCTCTTCCACCTCGCTGGACTCTTGGCTGGATGGAGGTGTGTCCAGCTGGGGCAGACCGAGATCCAAATATTCCTGATGTCAAAGATATATATGCAATTTATTATTATTATTACTGTAAAAAAACTAATACTTATTTATAGACATGCAAATCATGTGGACATTATTACTTACCTCGTTCGCTGTTATCGTTAATATTCTATCGAGATCCTCGACTAATTCGACAAATGTCGGCCTTTCCGTTGGCTGATAACTCCAACAATCTCTCATGAGCATATATCTATAGTAACGTTTCGAAGAGTAAATTCTCAGGATTGAATCATACATATCGATTGTATTATAAAATCAGAATCACATGTAGAAGGTGCGTCTTACATTTCGATCGAACAGCAAGGCGGTTTTTCCATTCGATGACCAGTTCGAAGTAATTGGAATAGTTTCTCGACCGACGGTACGGATGGATAAGGTGTACCACCCAGGGTCATAATCTCCCACAGCAGAATTCCGTACGACCATCTACGAGTGAAATCAATAAAAAATATTAAAAAGTCAATAAAAAATATTAAAAAGTGAAAATATTTAAATGATTAAAATAATCAAATAGAATCTTCGATCAAAGATAAAAGAATTATTATTGTGCCGGATACTTACACGTCGGACTGAGTGGTATAAACACGATGAAATAGGGCCTCTGGTGCCATCCATTTCACTGGCAATCGTCCGTCCGTTGTCTTTCTGTAATAGTCGTGGCAGTGAATGTCTCTAGCAAGACCGAAATCAGCGATCTTCAATACGTATTCGTCGCTGACGAGAACATTCCTGGCAGCCAAGTCCCTGTGTATACATCTCCTACTAGCTAGGTACTCCATTCCGCGCGCCACTTGATAAGCAAACGAAACCAAATCCTTTTGCGTGAGAGTCTTTCGCTCCTTTGACTCCTGTCCGATAGTTGGTTCATATCCCGAAGTGGGTCTATGATCTCGCAGGAAGTCTCGCAAATTGCCATGCGGGGCGAATTCGACCACAACATAGAGAGGGCCGTTTTGAGTACAGGCACCCAGCAAATTAATGATGTTTACGTGCTTGCCAATCATCTTCATCATTTCCATTTCAGAGACTAAATCCATCATCTCAGTATCTGTATGACCCTCTATATATATAAAAATAAATAAATAAATGAAATAAATAAACATATAAAAATAAAAAAATTAATTACGTTAAAATTTGCTTACCTTTCAACATTTTTACCGCTACAACGCTAGGTATTCCGGACTTGCCAGTATTCGTTTCGGCTCTGACAACTTTGCCAAAGGCTCCTTCGCCGAGAGTGCTTCCCAGCGTGAAATATTCTCTCGACAATTCCCACGCGCTATCTAATGGTAGTTCGTATTCGGACACATTATCGCTGCTGCTGTCTTCAGCAATGACAGTGGACTTTTGCTTCTCGATCTTCACTACCGGCATCAGCAATTCCTCCTCGATCGCATTCTGCGCGTTCACCAGTTTCTGCTTCTCTATAATTACCTTCTTCGTCCATTGCGTCACGACTGCCGCGCGCGCCGTTTCTATCGCGAGTAGCTTTTTCATCTTCTCGCGTTTCAATCGACGAAAGATATATATCACTACGAAGACTCCCACGGCAAAGAACAAGCACAGAATAGCCGCCAAAACATTCACGATGACATTCTGCGGTCTCGGAGCTAATGGTACTCTTTGCTCGTCCAACGCTGAATAAATTGTACAGGATTATTGTAGATATAATTTATCGTCCCAATATCAATTTTAAATGATTTAAATAACAAAATTGGATTACTTACTTTTAACGACACGTAGATAAGCGCTGCTAAATGTTTCCCCTAAAGTATTTTGGGCGATACACGTATACCATCCTTCATCTTTCTCGGTAACATTGTAAAGTTTTAGTTCCTCTGGATTCTCCCCCCCAGCCTGCATCGAAATTTTGTTGTTAATCGCGCTTTTGAGACCAAACATGCGTCAACAATATTTACACACATGTAACATAAATTCGTAAATTTTTCTTTTAGTAAACATTAGAAAGCTTAGAATCATGTATTGACAGTTACGGAAATTGGAAGCCAGAAACGAAAGTCGAGAGAAAACAGCAAGTTTGCATGCAAGCTATTCCCACCTTGACCTCCACCCGTAAGCTCTGATTGGTCTTGTTGACGGTGTCGAGAGAGGTATGGCAACCATGATACCATTCGAGATGACGATGGGCATCGGAGAGCACTTGGCAGATCATACTAGCATTGCTTCCAACAAGTACTGTGCTGTTTCGTGGAGGCCTCGTCAGAATCGGTCGATGCGGTACTGTTTCTATAGAGAAAAAGAAACCCAACCACCATTTTAACGAGTTAGATGTACACGTAGAGAAAGATGAAAAAATATACATATAAAGACTGTGTGCGTCTCAATTTGCCTCATGTTTTACATAGATATACATAAGCAAGTATAAAGAAATGTGTAGAGTAAGAAAAATGTACAGAATATAATATATAAAAGTAATACATAGAGAGTAGATAAACCTTTGTAAACCAAGCCTGTTTAAAATGAACAATTTACATATGTATAATACACATTTTTCCATTTTATAGCTATTTGTGCAATTTATAAATACATGTAATTTTTCTTTTATTTTTACATACAAAGCATATATGATAGACAAAAGAATAAAAAGATCCATAACCATATAACTATAATAAAGTAGATTTTTCCTAGACAAGTGCTGTAAAAAAAGTAATTAAATTAGTTTTTTTATTAAAGTGAAGAATTTTCCTTGTATCAAATCTGGAAATATTTTCTAAATTGACATGTTTAGAGTTTTTCAAAGGATAGATAGTTAGTCGACCCTACACCATTAACAGTTAGTACGATATTACGTCGAACAAATTAAGTCTTGAAGAAAAATTAAAATAAGACGCGATATAAAAGAGACCAGGACCCTCTACCATCACCGCATTAAATGGCGGTTGTACCTTTAGCAGAGGCCCTTTGGGCGGATCTTCTTGATCACCCGGATACTCGGCGACCTTAACCCATTGTATATACGGTTCGAGATCGGAAACAATGGGACATCTGAAGGTCACAATACTGTTGACCAGAGCGGTCACGTTCTTCGGAAAGTCCTCATTGATGTACGGCTTATGCGGGAAACGCTCTGCGGTATCGTTAGCAGACTCTCAGCGTTCGATTCGAGCGTTTACGTAATAAGCGGTTCAAGATCGCGCTGCAGGCACGCTTGTCCGCGCTTCGCGTAAAAAGTAGAGAGGATATAGGCATCTCAAACTCACCGATTATGTCGACTTTGTAGGTATAGTTGATGCATCCGAGATGATTGCATACAATACACGTATAATTCCCGCTGTCCTTGGTAACGAGATCCTCCAGTCTCAAACTCCACTTGGTCCTGATCGCAGTACCAAGATCTCGTCTCGGCTCTTCATTGTTCTTCAGCCACGTGATGTTCGGCCTAGGATTGCCAGTGCTCAGACATCTCAATCGCATCGTACTGCCGGCGGGCTTCACCACCGTCGCGTGCATCTCGTCGGTCTTGTTGAAAACTGGCGGACTCTCCGGTACCGTATTGTTGTGCTCGCCCTCCACATCGCTTTCGCCCTTTTCGTCGAGATCCGTGTCCATCTTGTCGCTGTCTAGATGCAACGATCGCGTTTCAGGCAAATCTACGGAGAAAATTACATATATACGTTACAATGCCAAATAAAATATCGAGAAAATATAAATGAAATAATTGACGAAAGAATACTCAACGTAGAGAGCTTTGAATACAACAACTATTTTTGCGATTAATAAAGTAGATGGATGTAAGGCTTGCAAATATTTTAATAAGTTTTAATAATTTATTTGGCTATAAGTAATAACTTCTCAAGGTTTTATTATTATTTATTATTGTTTGCGTCGTTTGACAGCTCACTTCATTTGAATTTACATCATGTATTATTTTTTGTCTTTATATTTGTTATTTTTATTTTGATTACTGATATTGATAAGGACCTGAAGATGGTCGAAACGCGCGTATATCGTTATTATAATAAACGGAATATGATAGATTAGAACATTTCTGTGATAACCGTTTTATTTTTATTTTTCGCAACCAGTCATCTCTGCGTTGGTCCTTTAAGCCTTTTATTTATATTTTTGATTGATTTATCTTGTGGACCTTTGCATTATTATTTTTAATATAAGTAATAATTTGTCTTTTAATCGAAATTCATTATTTACGATTATATATTTAAAAACAATTATTTATAAATTTGATTTCCAAATTTTAATTTGTTCTCTTCCTTGAAAATCGTCTTAAATTCAATTGTCAAAACACGATTTGCCTTTTTTTCACATCTCCATCACATAAATCGCAAATCATGTCTTTTATATTCATTGTCTGTGTGTACATAAATGTTTTTTCTTACAGATAAAAAAAAATTTATATTAATACATAAAGAATATTAGATAGGTTTAATAGATATCGAAGATATTTAAAAAAATTGAAAAACACGCTCATTTCCATTTTCCGATTTAAAAGTTTTTCTAATTGGAAAAATAGTAATCCATCCAATCCATCCGGATAGCGAACAAATCTTGTGTCATTTAATAGTATGATATCGATTTTCGCAAAAGAACTGAACTTACTTCTGGTTTCAATCTCGAGATCATTGCTCTCCTCTTCCGGTCTGAGTAAACTCTTTACACCGCTGGTTTCTTCAGGCTCGTTCTGAAAACCGTCGTTTTGCAGAGTCTCGATACGAACGGTCACGTTTCTCCACTCGACGGTCTCGTTCGACTCTAGTCTACAACCGTAGACGCCCGCGTCGTCCAAGTCGACGTATTTGAACTTGACAGATTGCTTCGTCACGCGCATCCTCGTGGTAGACCGCAACGCTTCATCGTCCTTATACCATTCTATCTGGACGCCGGGATTTCGCTGGCAACGTAGCAAAAGCTTCTCACCCACGGGCATCGCTACATCGGCATTAATTGCATCTGCAACGTAAATAATATGCATTCTATTATGCGTATATATGTGTGTGTGTGTGTGTGTGACGATAGCAAATATGCATCCAATCTATCCCTCGGATATATTGCACGCGATGCAACGCGATGCAATACGATGCTAATAACGAGGCGAAGAGTATGCGGATTTTTATCGCCGAGGTTATTCTGCTTTTCTTCAGACACGACTTCCGCGAGGCAAATAATTAGATTCGTAATTTCCGCCTTGGATTATAGTTGTATGCTGATTCAACGATGTCGGATCGATCATGGTTGATGCCGAGCGGTTCTTGCCCCTTCTGACTTTTCGCGCGAAATAATTCGCGTTCGTTCGAAACAAAATATTATAAATTGGTCGCTGGATGAATGAAATAAATTTAAATCAAATTAATTAGCCTCTCTAATTATCTTTAATTAACAAACGTTGGCTTCCCATCGCTTCGTATCGATTTTTGCGCCGTCGAGACGCGACGATCTATAATAATCGTCGCCGCGAGAGCTCGCGGAAGTCGGAGAGAAAATGTATTTGCGAGTCTGACGAGTGCAAAACGACGAGACGAGACGATGCTTGGCTCGCATCAGTCGGGTCTACCATCGCGATATTCCGGCTAGCTTGATCAAGGAAACTCATTTTCCTGCCCGGCTCATTCATGAGGCTGACCGGCCGGAGTATCGCCATTTGGCAGACAGCCAGAAGTGAATCGCGACACACTGTCCCTTCCGACGTTCCATCTGGAATCTTTTTGCCCCTCTGTCCCCAGAATGCGTCGGGAACTAAATTTAGAGCTATCCCCCGTGACCCCTCGTCGTCGCTCCCTCCTCTGTGAATCGCCCTATGATTACGATCACTAATAGTACTACGAAGCGCGTCTTCATCCGAGCACAAGAGTGTCGCGCTCGATAACTCTGCGAGTGATTCCGAAATTTTAATTGATAAAAAACGCAATTTTTTTTTCATCGATGAAACGTTTAATAAGATTTGTGTCCATTTCTTTCTTATCCTATAATAATAATCAGTCTATGCCTTCTCTCTCTTTTTCCTTCCTTCTCTTCGCAACAGATATACTTCCTGCGATCTACTCGAGGCACGCGAAGAGGAGAGCAGAGATTTAATTCAATCGAGAGATTCAAGTTCGCGAGCTTTCTTCTAGCGGATCTTTAAACATCCTCGCCAAAGCCATGCTCGGCGTACAAGCGAGTCGTTGTGCCTCGCGAGAGCCCTCGACGGAAATCGATCATCAAGTTTATTGTCGCTCGTCGTCGCGGTCGAGTCTGCTTCGCTCTTTTTCAGGGAGACAGTAACAGATGCGAGGCACGTGGCACGGATCGGCGGCTGCGATCCGATGCGCAAAATTCGATACAAATGTGTCTTCTCGATCTACGAGATATATATCAGCTTGATATATTTTTTGATTTTTCAAACAAATTTTTGTTAAACTTAAAATAAAATTTGTGATTTCTACGTGATTCCTGTGTATATTTTTAAATTGTTCGCGTAAAAATCGAATCGTGGAAGCGACAGCGCTCGATTTAAACCAGATACGAGTTCGATAGCAGGGATCGATAGTCTGAAACCAGGGATCGATTTCTCTCGTGTCAATAGCATTTGACGTCGAGCCCGAGCCCGAGCCCGAGCCCGAGCCCGAGCCATCTGCCCCGAGCCAGACGCCAGGAATAGCCTTAAATGTTTCGAGAGCTTCGCACCACTTCTGCCGGTGTTTTGTTCTCCTCGCTTTCTGCCTTCGGCCATCTCTCGCCGTGAGCTTTCGATCGCGATACAAACTCCGGTGCAGATGTTTCCACAGATTTCTGGCGCGCGGTGAACGCAAACAGATATGTACTTTTTATACGCCGCGTAAAAGAATTGCTAAAAAAATATCGCGCTCGTGATTCTTTCAAACAAATTCCTCGGCGAGAATTTCGGCGTTTACCGCGTCACTGAAATATTATCGCTAACAGAGTAAATAAAGAGAGTTTGCACACCGAGAAGAGAATAAATTAATTTCTCGACATATCCAAAGTCTTTGATTTTAAACAAGATTTATTTTCTAAAGGTGCGTAAAGTATTTTTGAAAAAATACTTCAAAATAATTCATTTAATTTTAATCTCGATATCGAATTCGCGCCTCGTTCAGAACCATTAGCCATTAACGTCGACGGAAAACCCTAGTTTGTCAACGTCAGCGGTCGTTTATTTACTCGTGTCGCGGCTGAAACGAGCACATTTTTACCCGCGACATTTACACACCTCGCTGTCTAAAATTGACGTGTATAGCGCCTTATCTCGTTCCGACTAGTGGATAACGATAGTTGTAGCGATCGCGTCTCTATCCCGCGCTCGTTTCTTCGTTTCTCGTCCCTTTTAATTTCTTCACGCGCGCGCCGCGTCTTCGCGACGTATAATCTTTCAATAACAGCCCGGCATCTTTCAACGTGCGTTTTCTTAAAGGGGTCCCGACCAAGTTCTCGATGCGTCTCGCCGCGAGCACGTGCCGCTCGTAAATCGCTATCAAAGTTTCCGCGCAAACGGAGGCGCGGTCTGACCGGTTTCCTTCGAGTGCCGGACAGCTTCATAAATAACCGCCGTTTCCTCGCATACGCGCAGCTCGGGGATAAAATCGCGGAATACAAAGTAAATAATATTTTGCCCGCGCGGACATAGGTAATTCAACCGTCAGCAAGCGTGAAGGCAGCTAGAGTTATCGGACGCGACAATCCTGAGCGTTCGTTGCGTTACGCTAACTATCTCTCGCATTCCTCGCGAAAGATTCGAGGGGATAATCCAACATATTTGAATTTCCAAGCATTGACACAAGATTCATTTATCATGCTGTATAATACGCGGCTAATTCGCGACTTTCAGCATTTTCATCCAAGCGAACGAGACGTTCGACAAGAACCGAGCACTGATGAGGTACGATCGCTTCGGTTAGAAAGACGAGATTGAGATCGAGGCCGGCACGAATGGATTATCATGCGAAAATCTGCCGAAGAGTGTCGTCGTGCCAAAAATATTTTCGCATGGCTGCCTCCGCCAATCTCCGTGACGATTTCAGCAAACGTACAAATTAATTCGAATCGGAATAAAAAAATGAAAAAAATTCTATCTCGATATTATCCCGATGATTTTTGCGAGAAAGTAAACGTTGCACGATGTTTTGCTCAACCGTCGAGACAAGTAATAAGATTGCAACGCGAGACGCTTCGTTAAAATGCTTCCAGAGATCGAGACAATACGAGTACTCTCGGGGTTGTTATTTTACGAAACGAATCGTTTTACATCGCTCGCTCGCTTGCCTCAAATGGAACCAGATCTCTCGCTTCGCCCGAAATAGTCGTCGAGACGTAAGCTACTAAACCGCGCGTGGACAACGTGATTTACGCTCCTTTAATTGCTTCTTGTTTTTCCGTTTTCATGGAAACGAGCCATCATCGTAGTCTTACGTCGCATGACAATTTTCGCAATGCCGAGATATCAGGTTAATGCGAGGAAAATAAAATTACAAGCGATATATTAAGAGAACCTGCGTTACACAATCACCTCTCGAAATAAATTCTCTTTATACAGCTTTTTAAAGAATTTTTAGATAAATATTTAATTCGAGATTTTTCTGCAAAAATTTTCCAGGAGATAAATGTATCCGTAAGAAAAAAAATACAGCGCGAAAACAAATAATGTTGAAGACAGGGAATCGCAAGCCGGATTACGCAAGTCACACTTGCATGATTAATCGACAACGAGAAACGACTCTCTCTCGAATGTTGACAGATTGCCATTACGCATCATCGCTGATTCTCGCTTTGTGGATAAAATTTTTTAAATGACGAATAAAGAAACATAGAAAAATGGACATCCCAAGGAAGCTTTCTCGTCCTCGAAAGAGTGCCTCTCGGTGTCGGATTACGATCGTCCCACGCGACTGACTTTTAGCATCTTTATCCGCCGACGAGAAAGAGAGAAAAAGAGAGAGAGGAAGGAGAGGAGGAAGAGAAATCTCTTTCTTCGTGCCGCGATTCGTCCTCGATCTAACGCGAGAAGACGATTCGACAAAAAGAAGAAATTCGAGACACGATAACCCTCTTGTGCGAGTGGCACCTCCTCCCTTTGCGCGGAAACGCTAAACGCGCCGACTGATTCTTTTTTTCTCCATCGGATACCATCAGCTTCTTATTTCATAGAAGGTTCACCTATTTGGATAAACGCGCGACGACGTTTCTTCGCGGAAACCTGTCGGCGCGTTCAAAGTTTCGCGACTGAAACGCGTCTCGCGACGATTTCTTATAGCGGTTGACAATGTTTATCGCCGACCAGTTTTAGCGATACTACTTTACGGCAGCAAACGGGCAGCGATCTAATTACCTTGTTTTATTACCGGCGCGTGTTTTGATCAATAAAATGTCTGCGATTTTTCTCTCGTCGAAGAAAGATAAAACGATTTTTCCGTCTAGCCCAACTTTTTCTCTCGAAAAGATTCGATACGTGCAACAATTTGAGAACATCGAATAAAAAGCGCGGTCTTCAGCAAGGAATCACGTAGCATGTCTAAACGCATCGTCCGTTCGCATTAAGATGTCGCATTATTATATTAAAGCATATTGGACCCATCTATTAGAATAGAGACAGGCCAACGAAACTGGCTCGATGATTAAAATTCCGTCCTAGAAACCCTCCTGGTTTAATGGAGCGAACACGTGGGGTGAAAAGACGAGAAGATTTACGGATAGAACAAGAGAGAGGAGGACAAGGGCAGATAGAAATGTCGAGATTGTTGACGGGTCGGGAATCTGTGAGACGATGGCTACATGTATACATCCATATAATTACACCTTGAAACGAATCATCCGACTGTCGGGGGATTAAGAAACGTCGCTCGAGAGAACGCTCCTTCTTTCAAAGAGTTAAGCTCGTTTCAAGTCTGATTGCGAGGCGCTCTTCCGCATCGGCTTTCCGATTCGCGTTTCTTACAAAACGAGAGATATATACGTGATTTTTCTAACGATTCCAATCTTCGAACAAGCGAGATGGATGGGATGCGGGCATCGGTCCAGCGGGAAAACCGCAGTGACGCTCGATCAGCCGGCAGGACCGGCCGGTCGTCTCTTGGCGAAATCTCCATCTCTACCTCCCTCGGCCGAACCTCTCCGCCCTTTTCCTCTCTTCGCCGTCTCCCGTAAATCGCGCTCTGCTGTCATCTCTTTCATTGTTCAATTGGTAATATCAACCGCTATTACGCTGTTGAATACATTTAATAGACAAAAGATTGGCAGTGGCTCTCATCGCGTTCTCTCGCGGCAGGGCAGCCCCTTCTCTCTTCTTTGTCCTCGTCCATCACTGAATTTAGCCCGAGAAAATGGCGTTTCGTACGCCACCGCCACGTCGGGAGAATATCGTTGTTGGCGATTCGGTAATAGCGGCATCGCAGCCGACTCGGCATTCAATGACCGGGCAATTGGACAATTGAGCCCAATCATAATAACGCTCATATGCATATCGTATCAGAGACCGTGTTTCTCCCCGTTCGCTCCATGCGCGACGTTATTTATTTGCCAAAGTATCGATTTTCCGATGGAATATCGGATTCGTTGAAAATGACAATCGCGTTAAAAGAGAAGAGAGAACGATAAAACGACAACATTACGAATCTCGGTCGACATATTCGACATATTCGACATATATTAGGCTTCCCGAGAACGCGCGACATAACGAGAGAGAGAGAGAGAGATCCCCGTGTATGCGCTGGCGCGTACGTTTATACGCACGTGGTCCCGTAGTTGCGCTGAAATTCCAGTGAAATTTCTACTCTCGAGCACGTACCAACTACGGAATATAGTAGAAACGCAATGGCAACGCACGGCGCACGCTACAAAGCCGCGTCTGTTCGCCAGATGTGACGGTCGAAAATTTTTCGACCGCGCCTTTCCACCTTTGACCAGCAATATCGAACTCTCGTTTCGTAGAAATTTCCATTGTTTCCAACAATAAACAGGCATCGCTATTTCGTCTTTCTCTCTCTCTCTCTCTCGTCGTTTGCCGAATACGGCGCGACAATTATATAACGGTATAGGAGGAGCATCGACGAGAGATGAAATATTCAAGGATCGTGTCGAGGAACCAAAATTGCCAAGATCGAAATGGCGATGAATGGTCCCTTTACGCGACTCGTCGCGCGCAACGAACGTTGCTACGGCAATTATGTCCGCTCGGGATATAATTATCGTCGCGCTCGCGCTAATTATCGCCGCGTGCATTTCTCCGCCGACGCTGCGATTTCCGAGAATGCGCCTGGTTTTGGCAATCGGGTCCGATGCTCTCTGTCACGTTTACTTCGAACGTCGTCGCACATCGACAAAGTGCCAAGTCAATTGCGATTTAAATAGCGATTTCGAGCCGCATGTATCTACGTGGCAATTTCCCGACGCGCGTGATGAGATTTCTCAAGAATGGAAGCGCCGATAATTAAATCGTATCTATGAAGCCTGGGGGGGAGCGACGTGACTGGAAATAAACCCGGATCGAGTGCCGCTGGCGCGAAAGCTCGATTAAGCCGACGCTTCTCGGTATAGATTTCACAAAATACCTCCACGTGCGTTACTTTTCTTCCGTGTCATTAACCTTCTCTCGAAACGTTAAACGACCGCGTCAACAACTTTAATGTCATAACAAGGACGTTGAAAATGTTATTAATGTTACGTCTTATTAATGTTACGTATTAATGTTTTCGTCGCAAGAGAAGATTAAATATATTATATATAATACGTTTTGAATTTATGTCACAGAGAAGCAAAAAAATTTCCTTTTTTAATCGGCGCAGAAATATCCTTCCGCTCGGTCGCGATTAAAAAATAATATAAATTTTTCGATTAATCGGTTTTCAAGTTGCAAGTATTTCTCTGGAATCTCGCAAAATTCCTCCACGTTGCTTCTTTCTCACTTGTATTTCCGGCTTTCGCTCTTTCGTCTCTAGCTTCCTCGTCAGGGGATGGGGGGCTTCTACCCCGCGCTATTTTTCACGTCGCGCTTATTCCTTTTTCAATACAAAAATATCGCGGAACGGCGCCGGATGACATTGCAGACTTCCTTTACAAATCTTCGGCTCGCTACGACCGCGTACCAGGCGCGTCTCGTGTGGCACTCGCTCGTTTAATTTTACTCGCGATTTTTACGCCGCAGAACGACGAGACTTTACCGTGAAACAAATTATTTGGCGATAACAAAATCGCATGTTTCCATGATGTCATTTTTAAACACGATATTTGTTAAATTTCGCGTAACAGTGCTTTCATTTCCCGAAAATGGCGCGAGAGCGCTTCTTTGAATTATGGAAAGTCTCGAAATATAACTCGACTCGAAAGCATTAATAAACGCATGCTGTACGAATTAATTTTTAAACATTTATAAAATTACCATTTTGTAATCTATAATTTATTACATTTTATTTGTATACAGTATCGATCATACACACACAAATATTTGCATCGCTTAAAGAAACAGGGAATTGTTACTTTAATGAAAAAAATTATATCAAATTATATTTTATTACTGTCGTTTTGTTTTAATAAAAATAAATAAAAATAGAAATATTGAATTTGTTATTCAAATGACTTTTTTTGTATCTAAAAGTCATATATGCAATACTTTTGACTGTAAAGCTCATGTTTGTATTAATAAAATGTTGACATGTATCATTAAACAAATAATAAAACATTATACGATTTTTCAAAGAAATTTGTAGAAAAGATATTTCTAGGAAAAATTTAAAACGTAAAAATATTACAAGAGTTAAAATGTATTTTCTTACCCAGCCGAAGGGATCGTCCTTGCGAAAATTCGACGTTTAGGATGACGAGAATTCCAAAGATGAAATAAATCTTCGCCATTTCGATTCGTTCGATATCAGACACGTGTAGTTAGTATAATCGCGGCATGGGTGATTTCCTGAAACAGAAGCGTGAAAAGTTTGTTTATCTTCTCCCCCTCGAGTATATGCTAGGATAAAGTAACGCGTAAAGACAAATTTCTCTTTTCCATTCAACGATTATCACGAAGAAAGGAGCATACACACGCAAAGAGAGGGAAGAGAAAGAGAGAGAAAAAAAAGAAAGAAAGTAAAAAATGTGAAACACGCGGTAAAAACTAATCAAGTATTCAAGAGGATGAAAAACTCGCAATTTACGTTGGTATTAATAATAGAAGAGCAAAATGCTCGTTTCCTTCCACGTTCCCTCCTTTTCTTCTATCGCGCGACCTCGTCGTATTTTTTTTCTCTATTTCGCGAGGAGCGTCTCCCAACGCTGGCCGACGGCCAAAACACGAAAACACGATGCACTCGCCGAGGACACGCCGACCAACGATTTTAGACACGATCACGTTGAAATACGGACCTGGGAGCGCCGAGCCAAACGCACGGCTTTACGCACGTGCCGCTTCCCGTCCGGGAAATGCGCGTTCGCCCTTCTTAAACGCGACTCTCGAAAATCATCGTCATCGTAAATCCGGGCCGACCAGACCTGCACGAATGATTCATTATTCACGCGATCGCCAATCTATTCAATCCTCGGCTAGAGTCTTGGTGAGGGGAAAATCGCCCGAAAATCAACGAGAAGAAAATTGTATATTTTTAAGAACATTTAATACATCCTATACATTGCATTTGTTTTTCCGTAACGCCGTTAACGACCGTTGAAGAGCGTCTCGAGGGTGAAAGTTTCGACAGATTGTTTTCTTTGAAACGCCTTAACGATCGCGCGGACACATCTTCCGTCGAGAACTCGATCCCTCGAGAGAAGAATATACGCCTGTACGCAACCCGAAGGAAAGAAAAAAAAGAAATAACCGATCCAGCGACGATTAATATTCGACCTTCCCTTTGGGGGGCTTTTAGAATTTCACGGGTTCTTGGTGTCTTGGCATCTTGGGACGTTCTTTGGATCGACGCGTCACCTGTTGCGTCGATGAAAAAGAGAAATACCCTCGCTCTCGTCGAAATACATATATCCATGTTTCATCTCTCTCGGATGATCGCGGTCGTGAGAAGATTTTCTCCAAATATATCCAGGCAAGCTAGAAAAAGGTTCGGTAACGAGAGAAGGCACCGGGACATGTGTGTGCATGTGTGTATGCGAAACTCTGAGGGAAAACCATATTTTTCTTCAAGCAGACATTATAGAAACAATCAGGTAGTTTGTGACTGAAAATCTGGCGACCATACTGCCGCAATATGAGAGCTCGCAGTTTTCAAATAATTGCAAAAAGTACAAAGCAAATTTCCATCGAAAATATTTGTAATAAAATAGTAATTTTGAAACATGCAAAAAGATTGACATTATGTGTGAAAAAAATTGTATTCAAATAGCTTTATTCATACAATATTTACATTTTTCATTTCAAAATATATTTTAAAATATATATTTTCTTATTTTAGCATAATGTAAAATTATCTTTGCGAATGTTTAATGTAATAAGAAGATATAATTTTTTTAAATAAATATCAAGCGAGTTTACTTTCAAGTATTTACATTTTAAAATCTCCAGTCTCTCTTATATACATACGAACACACATGCATGTAATAAAAATTAAAAATACAATTTTAATTTCTCGGGCTACAAAAAATTAAGTATTTAAAGACAAAAGGATTTGTGAAACGTGAAAAATATCATAATTAATTAATTCAGAATTATAATTTTCTTGTATCAATGCAAGAGTCTCTAGTACAAAATGTCTCTAAATTATTGCATTGCGTTATATTTATTAATTTATTTATCAATATATGAAATAAATATCACTTTTCGCAAAAAATATTATTTCGATTCGTGTGCGCGTATTTTGGCATTCGGGCGAGAATAAATTACGATGATCGGGAATACGTGTGTCGCTAATATTAGAGAAATTTCATATTTCGGTTCAACGTCGCGCTAATAATTTGCTGATTTTAAGTATGCGTGGGTCGTGGAATTTCGAGCGAAGCGTAAATATTTCGATCATCGTATAAAAATCGCAGCCTAAAGAGCTTTGTATTAAAATATTCGATTTAAAAATAAACAAGCGCGCAGGACGCATCGCGTATAACGTCGCAATACCGAGTCGCATTCTCGGTAATGCATACACGTGGCTAATAATCGAATCGTTTGCGCGATGATCCTAATTTATTACGCAAGAATGTCTTCCTGGAATTTAACACTCGACGAACGCGTAAATTATTCCGTATCATTCTAGTCACACTATTAGCTGTTTTACGATCGCGCAGTTAAAATCGAGAATCTCGATCTGCAAGAATATCATTGCGACGAGAACAACAACATTGAGAGTAGAGTGTCCATGTATCCGCGTGCATTTGATATTTCATAGAATTTATTGCTCGATAAAAGGAGGCAGGCGTCGTTTACATTGATATTTCTTCGCGTTTATAGATGCGAGGCAACCCCGTATATATTCGAGAATATTAGCCTTGCATATATATATATATATATATATATATATATATATATATATATATGTACGTATATATTGTATAAATCGCTTCCCATTTTTTCAACACGACGAGATGTAATCTACCTGTTTAAAGCCGACGATTAATGGGTCTTTACTTTGTAAATTTCATCATTTGAGTATCTGGATGTGCCTGGTTCCGCGTATACGTATGTGTTATCGAATCAAAAGCAGTGGCAAATATTTTCTCCAATGTACGCGACCGTAGGATTTTACAAGCGAAAGAGCAGTATTATAAATTAATGTGCAATATGTGTTGGAAGTAAAATGTTGCATATTTATTCATTTACTATTACGCAACATTTATATTTTTATTCGAGGAATAATTTAAGAGTTCTTCAGGATATTTTTTACTTTAACGCGCGCATCTCTTCTTGAAAATCTTGCAGAAATTATCAGTTTGAAAGACGACACAAAGATTTTCTTGGGCGAGACCGGTTTACAAGAGATCTCTCGTAAAGCTACCTTAACGAGCATCATAAATATTTATTTTTTCTCGACGCGTCAAATCGGATCAAGCAATAATCATGAAATTCCTGGGTCGCGTCCGTACATCTTTAAGTCCCGCGGAAAATGATATCATTCGACGATTCCCTCGGCGATTAGCAATTTACAATGTTTTGATGACATCTCGTGCGTAGATTTTTGTTTGCATACAAGAGAAAGATCAATGATCATTTGCGGAAAGCATGAAACTGCACGAAATTTAATTTCGGGCAACAAATTTGAATAACTCTGATACCTGATACAAAAATAATACGCCAGCAACGTGTAGGATAAATTTGCACAAGTTAATCAAATGTTGTAAGCTTATTTTACGATATTACATCATACCACTGTTGTTTTACAACTGAAAACATACTTGACAATTTAGCTTGCCGATTGCAAAATTATATACCCATGTCCAGAGGCGGTCGAATGCAATTTAGATTTTTACAAAGAACGCTTATAATAAATATTGCGAGTGATTCGCAAAATAAATCACAGCGCACAACAAATATTTCTTTTTTTACTAAATCCACGAGTGTCATAAATCGATTCAAGAGAGAAAACGGGATGCGATTCCGTCGAATAGTGGAATATATTTCATGACGAATTATTGGCAGCTGTCTCGTTACTCCACGACAAAGAATAATAGTTCTCGGATGAGAGTTGTACCCTAGAATACGCGCGTCTGGTTCTCGTCCAAGTATCGTAACGAAAACCATGCGAGCATTTTCTCGTCTCGTGCCCATCGGCACAATCGTCCCGTACACGCATACGCATATGCGTCCTACGTTTCTTCGCTTCCATAATTTAAAGCACAGCTCATCGAACAACGCTCGGAATCTCCCGACGAAGACGGGATTCCATTAGCGCGAATGCTAATGTGGCATCGAAACAAAATTCGCGCATTTGCTAAATCCGTCCAGCACTTTCCGAGATTTTCTTCAAACTCTTTATAACGAGAGGGCAAAAACCTCATTTTTATATATAGTTATATATTTCTCTATAAATACGTATATTCTTTTAGATATTTATGTAAAAAAATTGTTCTCTAGATATTTTTACAAATCAGAAATAATTAATCAAAACATTAGAAAAAATAGAATAACATAATTTGAAGAATTAATAAAAAAAAGTAATTAGCACTATATGCAGTGTAAATTTGCGACATCTTTCTGCCCGTCTTCAACTAATTTTTTAATATAGCGTCTCTCTCATCTGTCGCGAAGATGATGGTGCACGCGAGATGACAACCTAAAACACCGGTATTAAAATTTTGAAGGAAAGTGCCGATTGTCGTCGAGTTTTAAATTATATCTTGGCGTCTAGAGAGACAAAGTCCCGGACCTACGTCACGATAATTACGGGTGGTCGAATTCGTCGGATCACGGGCTCCGTGATGAAACAGGTTGGAGCGATTTCATTCAATTTGTCGAGGGTCGAGGAACACTCCCTTGTAGGGGATCTCGTAGATCTCGTCGAGATTTCCGACGATAATCTACGGACCGGGAAAGAGAGGATCGTCGCGGTGCTTAAACTTTCGTGCATAAATCAAGGTGCGCTTCCTGGCACCGCTACGAGTGTTTGGAGAAAGAGGTGTTTCTAAGCTTCTTCCTCATTAACTCGAATCCTTTTCACCCGTAAATGCGATTTTTAATATTATTTTAAACATGAAAAACACATACCGAAACACGGAGTATAATTTACGGCAAAACTTTGAGAGCGGCAAAGTCGTAAATATAAATCCGTTAAGTAACCCTCGAGATAAGGGAGAACGAGAGGGTGTACAAATTTATGAACAGCCGCAACTGATAGAAACACAATTTCGTCGGCTCGAAATGGCGTCTAATCGAAAGTATTTCGATACCTTAGCCGTTAAAAGAGCTCGTTCGAGGGCGGCGCGGATCAAAGAAAAACAGATGGACAAAAAAGACGCGTTAGGAAGGAAGATTGAGAGAGACGGAGCAAAGAGGCACCTAAAGCGCAAGGTATTATAAAGGAAAGGGATCCACTTTTCTGAAAGATACTGTTTGTTTTCGAGAACTGTGCCGTTTTATATCACAAATTGTGGCCCATAAATTATAAAATGTGATAAACCATAATGCATATTCGCACGCAAAGAATATTACAATGCCGTATGCGAAGAATAAATAATTTTTACACGCGTATTTTGGTTGAAATATGACTTATAATATTTGATTCATAATTGATAGCTATCACTCGTCTTACATTGAATTTTTGTACCGAATTAAACATATGAATCTAATCGCAAACTTTATTGCTGTCGAACAAAAATTATGCAATTGTACACAAATGAAAAAATTATATCAAATTACATCGCGTTTAAATTTTCCGCGATGATTCTTTTCGATATTTACCTCTTATACTTTGATTCATCTCCGAACAGGAAACGGATCATCTCGAATCAGTCTGTAAGCGAGTCTCGAGTGGCGTGTTAAGATATTATTCGTATATTTCGTCCGGAAAGATGTCGACCCCCGAAAAAGTAAGCCGCTTAGCGAACGTATCCGTTTTAACCCCATGGGGGTTAAGCGCGAAGCGAGTTAATAAGTTTGACGTCGCGACGAAACCGAGCGATACACGTGGGTGGCCTATTTGTGGGGCGCATTCTCCGATTTCACGAAAGCTACACGTTACTATTACATTCGAGAGGAGAAAGACAATCTTTATCGCATCGATAAAATATATATTTGGAGGTTCCATTCGCTAAACTAAAGGTATCGCTAAATAAATGAAACTCGATTTTAATTCCAAAGATTTGTGATTATTCGACTTATCCATAGCAAACTCTGCAAACTCGTGTAATGTCGCAAGATAATATGTTATATTAAATATTCGTAAAATAATATTTATTTTCGGTAATTATATTAATACGTTTAGTAATGTTTGCTGTAGCCACGTGGAATTTATTTTTCATGACATTACTGCACGTTTTGTGCACTATCGATGCGATATATTGTTTTTCGCGTAACATGCCAATCGTTTGATATTTTTCTCACCGATAGTATATGCTTATTTGTTGAGAATACATTCTTATTTAATCTAAAATTTCCTAACTCGATTGTGATGAGATAAATAATTTTCATGATTGCAATATTGTAATATAATTATAATGTATTATGATTATAGCGATTACAATATTAATTATGATGGACTGATTCTTTTAACACTTACAATACTCAATCATGATAAAATATACATTAAAAGCAATATAAATAACCATGTGTGATAAGCAACTTTTGAATTTCTATTAAAGTACCGGTGATTCGACTTGAAAGTTTCAAACTTTCATTAAATATGGCTGTCATTATCATATAGTTATAAAAAATAAAACTGTTCGTATCACTGAATCAATATTAGAAAGTTAAAACGAATTATAGAGAAGCTCTCTTTCTAACCTTGATACAAATCACTTATAATTTTAGAATAGCTTACAGAATACGATCTATTTGCTTATCGCAATAAAATAATCTAGTAATGTGATTACTCTAATTTATACAGAAATTGCTTCGGTCGATGTAATATTTCATGTCGTCACACTTTTAAACGAAACGGCTATATTCGTAGTACCGCGTAATGTAAACAAACAAAGCGACCAGTCTCGCTTCTCCCTCTTTGTCTCTCTCGCGCGCGCACGACACGTTTCGTATTTTTGATATAATAAAAACAAGATTAGTCGATCATTGTGATTGATGTGATCACTATATGATTATAATTATATCGCGATTATTACACGATTACAACACTCGCTTTCTTGTCTCATTAAATCTAACTTGCGATTTTAGAATTAAACGAATAAATATATCATCCACAAGTAAACGCCTAATAATGGCTAAATGCTGAGAAAAATATCCGATGGTTATCGTATTATGTAGCATATATATGATACATCGCGATAATAGAATATATGAAATGATGAATATTTAATATATATAAAATCCTTCTCTTTCTTTTTTCTTCAATTTTATTAAAACTCGTATTTTTTTATATATTTCGTGACGTGGAAATCTTGAAATGTATAAAATATACAAATTGCAAAAAATTGAGAGAAAAAATATTATTTCAATCCTCAAATCTTACCTTTTTTCGAGAAACACTGTTTCGATGTTCTTCAAGTGTCCCGATGTGATGGTTGAGATGTTCAAACAACGTCGAATATGAGCAGATCATTACCGTAAAATGTCCTCGCGCACTATATATTTCCGTTAAATCGAAAAGAAACGTATAATTCCATCTGTCAAGATTTTCAAAAAGATATATTTACGGAAAACGTAGTCTAACATCGAGAAAATCATCCGTCAGTCCGACCGCTGACGAGACGATTTCCATTTGCGAGAACGAGGTAAGTAAGTTTTTGTGCCCTTTGCGTGAAATATACGTGTATGTATCGACGTCGGTGATTGGCGGACGTTCGCGAATCGTCCCCTTCTTCTCTTCCCCTCCCCCTTCACACCGTTTAAGGTGTCCGTCCTCTCGCATTTACTCGCGTAATCGCGACGCGTTGATCTTAATCCCGACGAGACGACTGTCGCGCGTTTCCGTGTGAACAAGATGAATAATTACTCCAACTTTTCGCGTTATTTATCCGTTAGTACAATTACCGTGACTATTCCCGTGAAATATACCCGCGTATGTGTCGACGCCGATCATTGGCGGAGACGATCGTACGACGCCGAACGTTCGCGATTCGCGCCCCCTCCCCCCGCGAAGTGTCAGTCCTCTCGCGTAACCCGCGCGATCGTGTCGCGTCATCTTTAATTCGGGAAAAAAAGTTTGTACAATTCGATTTACCGTTGCGTGCCGTACGGATTTAATAAAATGGCAAAGATGCGGTTACTATACGAAAGTGAATATCAGTTCATCGAGGAAATCATTTGCCATTCGATCGCCGACGACAAGGAAAGAGAGAGAGAGAGAGAGAGAGAGAGAGAGAGAAGGACGGCCGCCATATTTCCGAGATCGAGGTAAGCGATCCTTTTCAAATTTCACTGTTTACTGCTGCGAAATATGTATATCGAGGCATAAATACGTCTCGTAGACTCGCTGAATAACGAATGGAGCATTCGCTGAGTGAATTAAGATGTTCGATGCGCGGTATTGGAGCAACATTGACGGAAATCTCGAGCGCGCTTACATGTGTGCGAGGACGTTTATATTTTTGCGCGCGCCTTCCGCGATAAGCTCTAGCTCGGAAACGCATCTTATCCCCGTATTTGGCCGATGCCGCTCGCGATTGTCGTGATACGCATAGCGATATCCGTTGCACGTGAACGTGCGACGCTTCCACGAGTGGAAGATTATCTTTCTTGACGGAGGGGGAAGGGGGAGAGAAGAGTCGGCCGATGTTGTCGCGTTCGTGTTTACGTGTCGCGCGGTGACGCGATCTATTCTTTATTTAATGTCCCGTTCGAAAATTGAAATGTCGCGGGGGTTTTCCTCGCCCTCCTCCCCCCCGTCCGCCGATATTTACTTTTCACGGACGGGATAGGCCGGCGTATCATTCCGACACAAAGCGAGGTCGACGAAGGAAGGATCCGTGGAATATTCATGATGCATCGGGCGCGCGATTTATAGCACCTCGGCGTTTTATCTCGGCGGGAGAATGCTCGGCGATCATCGATGACTCGACGAGATGAAGGCGCAAAAGGTACGAAACTCGAGAGAAGATATTCCACCGGCGTGAATAATAAAAGGCGCGATGTACGTGCGATGCCTTCGAAGGAGACTCGCGGGATCGGTAGAATGGGGAAGTGTACGATGCTGGAATATTTATTTATCAGAATCGAGGTGCGTACATACGACGAATTTGTACGATACGTCCAACATTTTCTCTCCGAGATTATGGTTATTGGTGACGACAAATATTTGTCGACCTTTTCCCCCCTTGATTTAGCCGCGAGATTTATTATCGTATATCTTTATCGATAGCCGAGGTGCAGACACAAATAATGCAGGTTCTCTGATATTTAAGCGGCCTTGGGTAAAGTAAACATCGTTTATCACGCTCGTGGGGGCGAAGGGCGATAAGACGTTAAGGCGATTCAAGTTCACGAGACGGGCCAGAGTATTTCTCCGAGATGGAGAAATTTCGTTTGTATATCGAGTAAAAATGTTAAACGATATTCATGGTAGCTGAAAAGTTTACCGAATAAACCATCCTTTTTACAACTTTCAATTCACCACTCCCGTCGAAATTTGAATAAACGATCGATTTTTATGTACAATGTAAAGTAAATATTTGGCCATTTAGTCGAGGAAGAGGAGTTCTCGGAAGCTTCCATTACGATGAAACTCGCCGAGCGTCTCGGAGAGACGATCTTTGAGCCTCGGAAACGGGCTCTTTTTTTATTTTCTCGTTTTTTTTTGCAATCGTCGCCATCGCGACACCGGGCCGCTCGTGTTTCGAAATTCGTTTTACGCGTCGAGGCGCCGCCACGGCTTTCGTTTCAGGGAAGTGTCTTTGCGACCGCGGGGGGGAGAGGCCCCCTCGACCCCCTCCGCTCGAAACATCTGCTCGTCGAGCAGCTAGGAAGACTTTTTTTTAATCGCGGGGGCTTTGGCGGAACAGAGCGCGCCTTATGCCCGTGGGCGCTGGAAAAAAGATGTATAAATCACGCCGTTGTGTCGCGATGCAATTTCGTGTTCGACTTAATTAATACCGCTGGTAATACTAGCGCTGGTAAGAAAAATTAGAATCGTTCGTCGTGTGCGTTCGGCCGATTTATCACGACTCTTGCTTCACCAAGTACGTGTTTGTTATTGAAGAAATTGTCGAGAGCCCCGACAACAAAACATTTAGCTCGCTCTAGAGATCGTCTTGTTAGATTAGATACAGGATGCTATCTCGAGCTAACGCTTATTGCGTAAGACAATATTTATTGCGTATTTTTTGACGCGCGACTCGACGATGCGTCTCGTAAACACGTGAGCGGCGCAATGCGCTGCGCGGAGAAGGCGCAATACGATACCTATACTACTTGAAAATCGCGTGCCTTCGCGTCGCTCACCCGAGTCGTTTTCTCGCAACACGCGGCGTCGTTGTCGTCGTCGTCGTCGTCGGTCATCGTAAGAAGCTCGCGTACGAGTCCCGAGGACGGGGCACCGTACAGTTTCGATCAGTCGGCCGGCTTTTCTCGATTCGGTGCCCGTAGTACTTTGCGCCGTCGCTAAATACGCCGACCGATCTCCGTAATGGATGGTTTCCTGAGCAGACGGTGGACGGTGCGAGAGAGCGACGGAGAAGGAGAGACGGCGAGCGAGAAAGAGAGAGAGCGTCTCTTGACCCGAGGGGAGAACGACAGAGTTTGCGAGAGAAAGAGAAGGAGAGAGAGCGACATTTGCTCGTCGTATTTTAAAAGTTATCGCGTTGCGCTTCCCCGAAATTTTCCGCTTTCGATTCCTGATCGCGAACGGCCAAATTCGCGTAATCGTGCCCCTCGCGAAAGGTATCTCGTTAGCCGAGGATAGCCGTCTTGGTCGCGGCGTACCTTGTCTCGCTCCCTGTAATTGAGAGAAATTATTCGGCCGACTGGTTTTATCGGCGATTGTCGAGAGGTGCGAAGCCGATTCTTATGCGCGCGAGATTTAACGCGACTTGGAATCGCGTTGGCGTCGTTCTTGACCCAACTGAACAATGCACGGAATCGGTGAACGACCTAGCGTGTCCGATATCGCGCAATCGCGAGATCGCACGTGAACTACTCTCCGATGCGCGTCGTATAAATTGAAGGATTAATGAGGTTTATCGCAGCGTGAATAAATCTCCTTTGCATAATTATAATACGAGAATGCGGGCGCGCGTTATTTTTATCGAGCGGTTTTCACGCGCCGTTCATAATTCAATAATTATCCTCGTTATCGACGCACTTGTTTTATCAGTTTGATCTATAATAAGAATTCCATTTTACTTATACGCGTATGCGTTAAATCGTTATTTTGCGCAAAGTTTATTTTTTTTAATCGAGTATTATTTTTGTAATCTCTTTAATTTATTTAAATTTTCGTAAATTGTTTAAATTCTTTTATCCAATATGTTGCGCGCACCGTTCGTTATTTTCTTCTCGAGCCCGTCCATTATTTTATTTTATTTTATTTATTAATCCTTGCCGTTATTTTAAATCGTTGACGAGATGAATATAAACGCGAGATTTTTGGAACGCGTCCTTAAACAAACGCGTTTAGCGCTATCCTCTCGAATGGATTCCGGGAAAACAACAGAATGAATTACGAAAACGACGACGCACGTGCGTCGCTTCCGGCGTCGCGGCGAATCGCGACGACGTACTTCCGCCGACGACGGGGGCGCGATACGAAGCGCCGACACAAAACGGACACGTACTTTTCTGAATTACGTGAACGCGTTTACAATGCCCTACGAGATGGTTGGTCGATAAACGACAACCTCTCGCGTTAGCTGTCTTTAGCCGAATCTTTTCGTGAAATCTCCGAGGAACGTGGACGCATGCATGTCCAACGACGTGTGCAAGGTTGAATCCAATCGAATCGCACCCCAATCAGAGATGGTATGAAACAATATTTAACCCTTTAACTACGGCTGTCGTCAATAGACGACGAATAGGAATGCATATCCGTAGTTGAAGGGTTAACAGATGTATACAGTTGAAACGCTCGCATAGAAAATCCTCTCTCCCTTTTCATCATCACCTTGTTTCGAGCGATTTATTTAATTAAGCGATTATTTAAGCGACTTATTTTATTATATTAATTTAATAGAATTGAAATTAGACCGAAATTGTTGATGAGAATGAGCCCACATGCTAGGACCAGACTTCTCCTTGATGTAACGCACAAACGGTGCGCACAATGAACAATTCATCGTTTCACCCAGTCCGGTCGCGTGTGGCGAGGGCGTACAAACGATTCACTCGCGAGTGGCGTTTTTCGTGGGAAACACTCGTCGCGAGCTGGAAAAAATCGCCCCGAAGCGAACCACATGTATCTAAACGCATCGGTGACGCGTTCATTTTCTCGAATCGCGTGTTGTTTACGAAATCGTAGAGCATTCCGACATACGTGTAATAAGTTTGGCACACAAGTTTACTCTCCACGTCTAACGCGTTCTTTCGAGTCGAGACTCTAAGGCTTTTATTCGACATAATCGCGTCGAGGGAATTTATAAATTTTCACAATTTTCCCTCGGAGAGAGAGGTTTTTGTTTCACGATAAGTATGGCCTAGATACGAAATATACGACGCGCGATCTATTTTCGAAACGCTTTGGCCGTCGACGTGCTTGATTCGCTCTCGGCCAATGGAAACGGTACGTATCCGCTGTCGAATCGATAAATCTTGATTCGCTTCTCGACAGCGCCCTGGCGCCAAA